TCTTTATGAACAAACTGAACATGTAAATTATTCTAATTTACGAAATTTATTTTTATTTATTTGATTATTCATTCTAGGGAAATATCAGTCGTCAAGGTAATTAACTATGAATTTATGAATCTATTCAAAGAAATATGATATATAATCAGTAGTTCCAAAAAATGATCATACAGACTGAATTTTGAAATTTTTCCCGTAATGCTAACTGACATAAAGGTTAGAGAAATTTGTTTCTAATAAAGATTTGAAAAAAATAAAATCCTCATTGTATTTCCAAAATCTCTTGAACCTAGTTTTTCAGCACTCAGTCTCAAAATAAAAGCTTCTATTTGACTGCACAGGATCATAGAGCAACTAATTCTCTAGAAAATGACATATTTCCGAGCTCTTCACAACAGTTTTTGACTAAACTACATTATTTTTAAGAGAAGAACTTCAGCACCTTTCTTAAAATCGATGTAGTTCAATCAAAACTTGCCATGAAGAGCTGAAAAACATGCCATTTTCTAGAGGATTAGTTGCTCTATCATCCTGTGCAGTCAAAAAAAACTTTTATTTTGAGGCTGAGTGCTGAAAAACTAAGTTCAAGAGATTCTGGATTTTTGAGAATACAGTGAGGATTTTATTTCCTTCAAATCTTTGTTAAAAACAAATTTCTCTAACCTTTATGCCATTTACCATTACAGAAAAAACTCGCAATTAAATCTTTATGATCACTTTTTGGAACCACTATATATATGAGCAAAATCAGTGAAAACGGCATATAATCATTTTCAATTTGACTTTAATGTTTTGATTAGGGTTACTTAGTTAAACAAGTTCTTTTCCCATGAATTTACGTAAAAATATTGGCACTTTCAGCTCACACCTAATTAAATTTAATTAACTAATTAGTTAATTAATTCAAACGTAACAAGTGACTAACATTCTAAGCTTATAACGAAAAGTTCAAGAATTTCAGGAATGATTCCACGCCACAAACCATTTGTATAGTGAAGTTTTATGTAAGATCGGACTCCAAAAATCCAGCATCTGGGCTTATCCTAGAACGAGGCTTTTTGTTTTGCTATCATCTTCCGATCTCCAAGAAAGATTTATAACATTGAGAATTGGTTTTTAGACTTCTCATTCAGTTGCAAGAAGATTTTTCGTTTCCATATTTTCGTTCCCACTCAGATCACTAACAACGAATAAACTTAATATTCTGAAAAAGCTAAAGGAAAAACTTTACGTAGAGATTGTGTAGCCTTAAGAGTTCTCAGCAAAATGCACTATTTAGTTTTCAATAATACTGTTTGAACTGACAGGATTTGTAAATGCACGCAGTGGAAAGCTTTGACCTTGTCTGTGTCACGTCGCTAAAGTCTAGTTTTTCGATAATAACTCTTCGGAATCAATATCTATAAGACGGAGTTTTTCAGGATATCTACAATAACTTAATACACATCTATTACATAAAAATCAGCTAAACCAAATGCTCGAGTCCAGAGATATAAGTATTTTTCTTTAGCGAAATTACGTCGCTAACAAATGAAATTACCCATATATGTATAAATTGTAGAAGCTGTATCGATGATTCCACCGTTGGTTCTTGATATTCAACCACATCATAAAGTATAAAACAAAAAAAAATGTTTTAATACACATAAAATACATTATTGTCAAATTTAGATCTTAGATATGTGTGCTGCACCTGGTTCGAAAACTGCTCAAATAATTGAATGTCTTCATCGTGATGAATCAAATCCAATTCCAAGTAAATATATTTTCTTCATAATTAACTGTTATTTACCACTATTTACATTAAGGTGGTTTTGTTATTGCTAATGATGTTGATAATAAACGATGTTATACACTTGTTCATCAAGTTAAACGATTAGAAAGCCCATGTTTTGCTATTATAAATCATGATGCATCAAATTTACCGAATTTAAAATTCCGTGTAAGTTATTTTATTGGTTTTTGTTTTTTTTTATTTCTATTCGATTCATATATGAAAGGATGGAAATATATCATTTGATCGTATTCTATGTGATGTTCCATGTTCTGGTGATGGAACACTTCGAAAAAATCCTGATCTATGGAAAAAATGGAATCCTGGACATGCGTTTAGTTTACAATCAATACAATTACGTATTGCAACACGTGGTATACAACTTCTTGCACCCGGTGGTCTCATGGTTTATTCAACTTGTTCAATGAATCCTATTGAAAATGAAGCTGTTGTTAGTCAATTATTACAAACATTTCAAGGTCAAATTTCACTTGTGAATATTAGTGATAAATTACCAGGTTTACGAACTATACCTGGCTTAAAAAGTTGGTGTGTCATAGGAAAAAATCAAGATATTTATAATTCATTTGAAGAAGTACCAAAAAATATGCAATCATTAGCTCGACCAAATATGTTTGCACCTTCAAATGATATTCTAGAACAATTACATCTTGAACGATGGTAAATTAATTTTTGTTTATCAAATATCTGATATCTAAGATTGCAGAAAAAAAGAATAAACAGTGTCGAAGATTTGGCACTTCCATACTGGCCCTGTAAATATTTAGAACAAGTGAATACGAGGCAGGTATACCCCGAGGTTGACAGAATTGAGGGGTCGAAGACTCACGAAGCTGATTGGAAGATTTTTGCTAAATTTGACTGGATTTTTGGGAAATCAGTGAGCAAAAAAACAATAAAATGTTGAAATTTCGCTGGAGAAAAACGAAAATTTTTCAATATCTGGAATCATTCTCTCTCGCGAGATACCCCTAATGCGAAGAGAAGAGAAATAGTATAAGAAATGTTTTACTTTAGTTACTAGAAACTATTGCATTAGAAGAGAACAAGTGTTCGATTTCTCATTTTATTGAAAAATTGTTATAACTTTTTTGATAGTTTAGAAGTTCCTATACACTTTCATTTCAACTATCGAATAGTTCAAAACCATATAAAGAACTGTTTAGTGTTTCAGTCATTAAGTATACTATCTCAATAATTAACTGAAACTTCTAATATACAATCCATCGGAAATAGTAGAGAGATTGCTAGCATATGTTTCCTGTGAGGAACTTTTCATTGAACGTTTTCTAGTACAAATCTGTATATTTCTTCTGAGTATAACTAGCTTAGACATGAGCGGAAACAGTTGATTTTGGTCCTGACAGGCCAAAAACATCTTGCCCATATCTATTTCGAACACATAAGTCTTGACACATTTGACGCAAGTTTAATTAGACCATAAAAAAGTGTTAGTCCTAATCCCGGTTTCGGTCAAAAATTGGTCCCGACGGGATTGGTCTCATCTTATTCATATCTAATTTGATTATAATGATTTCTAATTGAAACTCAAAGCAATGTATAAAAAGCTGTTAGAAATTTTGAATTTTTTGATTATGTACAAGAATGTTTAGAACTTGCTTTTTCTATTTTAGTATTCGTGTACTACCACATCATCAAGATACGGGTGCTTTTTTTTGTTGCTCTTTTTCGAAAAATTGACAAAACTCTTGATTCATCATTGTCAACTCAAGAAGAAACATCTCAAAAACGTCCAGCAGAAGAAAATGTATTCAACGAAGATGGGTATATAATTTGTGAAGTAAAAAATACATTAGTAAGATTTTTCTTTAGAGCTAATTTCAAACGTGCTCGATATCATCGTGAAAATCCATTTATTTTCTTTGAAGAAAAAGATATAAAGGGATTTTGGCAAGAAATTAGGTAAATATAATTTTGAATTTATATTTAAAAAAAAATATTTCTTTAATTTTTCTAGTGAATTCTTTGGTGTTGATCCATCATTTCCAGCAGACCAATTAATGACAAGAATTGCAAGTGATAGTGGTCGAAATATTTATTTCGTATCCGATAGTCTTAAAGAAATTGTTACATTAAATCAAGATCGTATTAAAGTATATATTTTTTTTTTGTTAATTTTTCTATTCATAATTATCTTTTTCTTTTCCAGTTTATTAATATGGGTGTTCGTTTACTTGTTCGAACTGATTTACGTAATGATAAAGATAAGCGTTCATTAAGACTTTCACAAGAAGTAAATAAAATTTTCTTGATTTGTTTTTCTTTTTATAGATTTTCATTTTTTTTTTCTATTTAGGGCATTGCAATTATTAATAAATATTTTTCCAAACGACGTATTCAATTAGAACAACAAGATCTATTAATATTATTATCACATGCTCATACACAATTTGCTAATCTATCACAATCAGTACAAAATCAAATACAAAATATATCCAATGGTTTGTTAATTTGAAGAAAATAATTTTGTGTCTTTTCCTTTTTCTTTTATTATCTTTAATAGATTTAGGCAGTGTAATTTGTTTATTTAACATCAAACAACATGATCTTGATATACCAATTATATTTGTTTCATGGCGTGGTCGTAGTTCATTCCGACCATTTGTAAGTCATTCATCAAGAAAATTTTATTTATCATTATGTAATATCGATCAAATGACAATTAGTAAGTGTATATATAAATATAAACCGTCTTTTTTTTTCATCTATCTTTGTTTTTGTTATAGATGATATTATTAATAAATTAACAATTGAAGAAAAAACAAGCAATCAAAAAAATGATGTTTCATGATGTTTTGTTTTTTCATGGAAAAAAATTCTAATAAACAAAGATAAATTTGTTGTTTAAGTTGTTAAACAAGAAAATAAAATTCTTAGCGCAATCCCTGTGGGATTAAAATGTGAAACACAATGTAGCTGTTGTTATTAATCATAGAGCGATTGCTTTATTCTATCAATTTTGGGACATATTCCTTCACCAGTCCTTTATTTAATCATCCAGTAATACAATGAGGAAGTAATTAGAACGAGATATTATTGATATACGGTCTTTGATCGTAATTAACAACGTCTGTCCGAAGGGGAGGGGTACAAATTCTTTCTCCTATACTTCAAGACTCTTTTTAGATCGTATTTCATAAAAACCTATTTTGTGATTGGAAACAAAAAAACTATGCCCATGGCGGGTCTCGATCCCGCGACTTCCGCGTTACTCAATGCTGTTTATAAGCACGGCAATCTACCAACTGATTTACACGGGCATTGAAATTATTTAAAAATTATCTAAAAAAAATCGATTCATGTAAATAGAAATACTTGATGAATTCCAAGAACGAAGCTCAGTCATATCATCTCTAATATTTAGGTAGAAATGTTTCTCATGATCAAAGGAAACGTAAAATGGACGTTAAACAATAAAATGAAGCTATTTTCAAAGCAATCGAATTGTTTTATGAACTAAGTACATAGTAGCTGGCTATGGATTCATTGAATATTAATAAGCCAAGTTGAATAATATACCATATGTCTCTGAGACGTTCTATATTAAAGCTAATCGATGATAGATTTCAAGGAACTAAGAATTAACTATAAACAGTCTCTAGTTTGATTATAGCATATAAGATAACAAATTTATGATTACCGATAGGATCAACTGCTAATCATTATATCGATCTAATTTCACAATAACTAAGTAATATAAATGTTGTCAGGAGAGAAAAAATAACGTCAACTGGATACTTGATGTCAATGAGCTGTGAAATGTAATTTTGATGTAAAGTACGAACAGGTCAATAAGAATTTCGCGAACATTGCATTCTAAACTAAACTACATTGGGATATATTTCTAGATTTTCGTTTGCAATCTTTCTTAATTTCATTGCGATTGCAAAGCTTCGCCTTCGAACAAGATCACTCAGTAGAGTTCGCTTTCATTGAACATTTCAGTCGTAATGAGGATTTGTAAGAAAGTTTTATGATGATACTCTCAGATAGATATGTTGAATTTTGACTGTGTTAGATGATATTTGAAACTTCTAGTACCATCTTGAAGACTATTATTACAGAAAATGCAGAATTTCGAGTGGTTGTAACGTGAAGCTAACATTTATGAGCATTCGTCATTCAAATAAAACTTTAAATTTCGTTTCACAATGATTTTCACAAGCATTATAAGCAATGAATTTAGAGGACTATTCACATTAACAAGAGAATTGAACATAGAAATTTTGTTTAACCAAAAAAAAATAGTTTTCGCCAGATTCTTTAAAATGAAAATGATGATAGAATGTAATTTGAAAGTGCTGAGTGCATAATGAATTTCTTTATAATACAATGTTTTGAAAGAAATTCTTTGAAATGAAACGCTTGAACCTTTCTTATTATGAGAAAACTTCGTATAACCGTTAAAACTATGTACTTCTTAGTTCCTGTAAATAAAACTAACCTAACAGAAAATAATTCTGTGTCTATCTTTTATAGCAAAAAAACTTCATTTTGATTACCGTTAAAAATCATGATCTTTTAGAAAATATCTCAAATGATGTTAATTAACTAGCTTTGGTTGCCTTATCCGAGAGATATACATTTTTATGCATCGACAAACATCTTGTGAAAATTTCCAAAAATTTGACAAAAAAAATCTGGAGACTGAGCTTTGCCACTCCCAATTTTCTGGTTATGCCACATGATACAATCATTTTATCTTTTAAATAATATTGTTTTAAACATGTTGAGATACTGAATTTGCAATCATTTTAATATAACTAGTTAGAATTAATATTGTGCCTTTACTGACTATACGTGCTATAAGATTGGTTGAACATCAAGACAAAAACTCCTTGAACCTGTTGAATATGGCATCTATGCAACTGAAATAAGATTTTTTTTGGTATAATTTCAAGGCAAGTGAAGGTCCATATAATATTTCAATCAAGTAAGTCTCGGATTGAGTGCTATTCGATAAATTTATCAAATTAAAATGGGATGATAAACTTTCACTTGTATTCATAATTCATCTTTTAAAGAATTCATGGTACTTTAAATATAGTCACTAATCTTATTGCGTAATTCACACACATAGCACTGACGAAGGAATATTTCTAAGGATTAAAACGCTTGTGGTTCTGGGCTATGTGCTGCATGTAGGTTATAATAAGCTATGAATAATCTGAAAAGAGTTCGGACTTATAGCTTATTACTGTCGAGATGCTGTATTTTTTAGCAGAATGACGTGCCTTTCCTTCCTTCAGACACACTAAGAAAAGTGAGTTTAGCTTAGTGTGAAACTTCTAGATTTTTCGATTGCGTCTATTCTGAAATATGAACATCGGAATTTGCTATTGTATATAAGCAGAGTGAAAAAAAATCATGCTTTTACCATATCCGTGTCTTAAGATAGGAAGCAATTGAAAGACCTGAAACTTCCACAGTAACTATTCTCATTAAGACTTGTCTCTATGCAAATTTTCAAGTAGAAAATCAGTTGTCCTGGTGTTCTTGACAAAGACTACAGCAGTATTTTGACAGTAATAAGCTATTAGTCTGAACTCTTTTCAGAGTATTCATAATTCACTATAACCTAAATGATGCACATAGTCTCGACTCAAAAGCGATTTGACACTTAAAAACATTTTCTCATATAATAATCCGGCTTAAACAAAATGACGTGTCAATGATAAATTATTAAGACGCACACATATTGAATATGAGAAATGAACAACAAGTAACATATAATTCACAATTACACATCATAATGCAGTTGTACTTAATTATCAAGGTCTACACTCATCAATTCAATTCAGCAAAATCTTAAAAACAAACAACTTAATTTTTTTTATTAACTATATAAAGCGTCTGTGTGTTATCAATGCGGATAACATTTGTATTTTTTTTTTTTGTTATCTTTTATTATATAAGTTATTCTGTTCTATATAACATATAATTATGAATGATTGTAATTGATAATATTAGGACCTAATTGGACATAAACCATTTCAATCAAAATGTAACATTGTCTAAAAAGAAATTCTAAACAAACAACATTATTAACTTGATTCAATAAATCTCAAGTTCGAAAAAAAATAAATAAATTTTTAAAAGATATTTGAAGGAGAAAAAACAAAGTAGACAACTTTGAATTCTAATAAATTGTTTTTTAATTGATCAATATTTTTATCTTGAGATTTTTGTTTCTTGAATGTTATACATGACCTTTTGAGTTGATTTCATTTCTGTTTTTACAATCTTTTAATTAACTCGATGATATGAAATGAACCATCTGGTAAATTTAATTGATTATCTTATGTTTGTACGTATTACATTCTTTCTTAATTATGCTATGTATTCGAAACATACATTCTTCTATAGATTGGAATAAATCAATATTATTTATCCTTGTACCAAAAAACAAATAATTCTTTCAATATCATCTAATCATTATTTTTTGTCCTGATGTTTATTGTATCAAATGAAAAAAGAAAAGTAACTTATACAATTATGAACCACATATATTTGTTTTCTTATTCAGACGAAAATTTATTTTTAATTAATTATTAGTTTATCAAAAGACTGTATTGACTTTCTTTTTAAATAATTAATAAAATAAATTTCATTTTACGTTATTGTTTGATGTCATATGTCAAATAGCAAAGCAAATTTCTATATTGTCATGATGAATTAGTATATGAAGTCAATCACCATCTGCTTGTCTACTTTTATAGTCTGTTAGAAGACAAAAAAAAATGCACATATGCACTTCGTTATCGTCAATAGTCATCTCACTTTTTTTTTTCTTCTTCCATTTTCGGAAGCCAGATGATGATAGAAAAGTGATCTCCCATTGAAATTCTACCTATGTACAACTATTAAAGAGAATGCATCTATAACCATGCTGAGAGAAAAAAAATCACTTTTATAAATGGTCAACTGATTCAAATATTGATCAAGTAAGAAAAAGAAAAAAAAAAAGAAGAACTACTAATTGATGGAATTATATGAATGTATATTTTGTTTGTTCGAAGGACAGTTGACACCTTTATGAATAGGTCACAAATGTTCATAGCAATACACAGCAGGATACTTGTTTCTCTAATGACTGTCAATTAGTATGCGACACTTTACAATGAACCAAATGTCAGCCAAACAATACTCTCTACGCACGAGTGATTGAATATATATTCTATGGATTTTATCTATATGAATGCGTGTGTATATATTTGAGACACTCCCTCAAAAAAAAAAATGCCATCCATGACAGATTCAATGAATAAGATCAAAAAGAATATCATGAAGCAGATGTGTGGCGTGTCTTTGACTTATTGTTCTAATTAAAAAATTGTTCAATGAATAACCATGAGAATTTTTTATCTCTTTAAAGTTGTTCGACTTATCATCACCATTATTATTATTATTTTCATTGTCGGCCAATTTATGATCATATTTAAACATACAAAAAAGAAAAAAATCTTATACATGCGTGTAATTGAATGAGCATACGTTGCTTTCCGTTCACACATTTAAAATGTGTCAATTCAGTCACCTACTGTGTGTGTATGTGGCGAGAATAGTATTCCTAAAGGCATCAAACAGTGTGTAAATCCGGCATGGTACATTAGTATTCTTATAATTAGAATAAGACAAGAAATGTATGGGTCATCTCTCTAATTGCTGACCTTTTTCATATATCGATCTTTTCTTATATACACAATGTTTATTTAGACTCAATGAATTGTTGTGGTATTCTGTTACATAATCGATAAACCTTTTTCTTTTTCTTCTTTCCACATAATGAAATCAAAGTATGGATTAGTGTAACCTTTTATTTCTTTTTTTTTTTGTTGCTAGATGAACAAAGATATACACACACACACACATACACATACGCATACATATATAGATACAATCACAACAACAAAAATGAACTATACACACATATCCTATTATGTAGATGTGTTTTATGCATTCTCTCACTGTCTAATACTGTCATACTGATGCAATAATGTATTTTTTTTTTATTTTTGTTCTTTATACAACAACTTCGTAGACAGTTTTTTTGCTTTGATGATTCATTTTTGATGGTGTTGAATAACCACTTTCAGCACTATCTTCTTTTGTATGATTTTTATTTGATATTATTTCATGCATATTATTTGTTGTCGTATAAAATGGAAATCCATAACTACCATATTGAGATTGTGACCAAAGTAGATCATTTTGCGCTGATGGTAATGGTAAATCATTTGGATTTGTTGTTACTGTTGATATTGGATAAAAATCTGTAACTGTTAATTGATCACTACCTGATAATGATGATGAATTTGGATTTGATATTATTGGATCACTTGAGCCACTAGTACTACTTGAAAAATTTCCATTTGTACCTGTTGATGTTGTTGTTGTTACTATTAAACGATTTGTTTGTTTATCTTTAAATTGATCAATTTTTTGTATTTCAGCTATTTTTGAAAATGATGATTGAAGTTGTTGTTCAGAATATGAAAATAATTTATGTGGACTAGAAAAAAGAAATTGAAAAGATATTTTTTTTTAAATTTAAGTTATTAGTTCTTACCTATGCGTAGATTCAATGACTATTGGATGTTGTGGTGAAGGTTTTTTAAGTGATGATGTAACTAAAAATACAATACGAATATTATATAGAGAGGAAAAAAATAACAACAAATGTAATTCATACTTATATCATGATTTTTATTACGTCGTCGTTTATGATTTTGTATTATACAAAATATACAAAGACCCAAAAGAATTAAAAAGAAAACAATAATAATTGAAGCAATCAAAATAAATATCCAATTGAATGCTAATTCACGTTCTAAATATAAACAAAAACAAAGCTGTTAGCACAATCCCTAATGGATTAAAATATGATAGACAATGTGTAGCTGCTGCTACTGCTAATCACAAGAAGATAGCTTTATTCTAGACACATTTCTTCATCATTCTTTTACTTAATCCTCCAGAAATATAATTCATATAGTATAATGAGACGTTATTGATATACAGTCTGCGACACAGCAGGAGAATGTTGCTAATGTGTCTATGATGATTCCCCTCATCTTGAGAGATTTTCATTTTTCCTCAACAAAGTTCCAACATTCTATTGCTCATAAATCCTCAAAAAAAAACCACTTGACTTGCGTCCATAAAATCCAGTCAATTTTAATAAAAATCTTCCATCCGATCTCTGGAGTCATCACGTCCCCTAATCCCGGCAACCTTTAAGTGTCTGTTAAGGTCTGTGGGTAGAGATCATCGAGTTCAGAAATTTTTGGTCCCTATGGGCTCTTCCCACAAAAGATTAATTAATCAGGTTCGAATCCAAAATTTTAATAGACCGGATCGCGATTCGAAAATTCTTGGACTTGACGGGCTCTAGCTGTAAGAGATCCAAGTTGTAGATCATGTTTAATAATTTTAGTTCTTACTGGTTTCAACTGATCGTGTTTGTCCACAATAATCTTCATATTGATCAACACACATAGATACATTAAGAATATTTAATAAATATTGTTCATCTAATTTAATTACTCCACTTGATGTTACAATACGTTCACATATACTCGAATGATTATAAATATTAATTCGTAAACATAATGGAACTTTTAATGAAATAAAACTTGAATTATTTAAACGATAATCAAGTATTTTTTCTGAATAATATATTGTAGAATATTCAATTTGTGGTAAATCTAAAATTAAAGAAAAATTAAATAGATGAAAATTTATTTTATTTTATTTTGATTATAAACCTTCTTTTGTTATTGGTACATCTTTTGTTTGAGCTTGTATTGATGCTGAATTTTGACTTTGACCCAAACGATTTTGTGCTCGAATTATAATATTATAAGTTTGAGAATGTTTTAGATCTATTAAAATGAATATTTATTTATTTTTTTTAGTATTAAATATTATAAAAAGTTTGTTTTTTTTACTTATAAATGTATATTGACTTTCATTTGTTTCTTTCCATAATGAGTTATTAAGTGAAACCCAATAAGATTGTGGCCAACCTCCATCGAAACCTGGTTGCCATTTCAAACTAATCGATGAATATGTTAAACTCGTTATATTAACATTTGTTGGTGTTTCAGGTATATCTAAATGAGATGATATAAACTTAAAAGGTTTCTCATTAATTCAAATGAATAATAAGACGATAGGCAACAACTGGTTTCAATCATTACATTTTGATTGATGATCATATCTTTGAAGTTCTCAATCAATATTATTTTAAGCGAACAATACAAGAACAATATATACATGTGTTCTTAGTTGGCATCATATGAATTAACTACTGTTTAATAATCATTGAAGGACGGAAAAAAAAAAAAATTTTTTTTTTTTTCTATTTGAATTGTATTCATTTACCTTTTGATCTTAATTGTATTGTTGTAGAATTTTTTCCTAATTTATTTGATGCATTACATGAATAAAAACCATAATCGAAATTTGATTGTAATTGTTGAATAATTAAATATGATGATGTTTTATTTTTTATAATAGAATATTTATTTGAATTAAATATTTGTCGATCATTATATGTCCAAATAATTGTTGATTCAGGATAAGAATCAATATCACATTGTAATTTTATATTTAATGTAAATAGATCGAGTGCAAGTATTGGTGTTAATGAAGTAACAATAGGTGTATCTAAAATGTTATAATTTTTTCTTTTGTGAAAATTAATAAATTTAACAAGAAAAAGGAAATCTTTTTACATTCAACTGTTACACGTGTTTGTGTTTTATCAAATTTTTCAATTGAACTTCCATTTGAATATTTTAAACTATTTTTAGCTAAACATTTATAAATTCCTGTATCATATTTTGATATTTTATCAATTATATATGATGATGTTAATGAACTAATATTTAATTTTTCATCATTTTTATACCATTCATAAGAATCAATTGATGGATATGCATCAACAATACATGTTAATACTAAACGTTTATTTTCCGATATAACTCCGCCACCAGTTAATCGAATAATAGGTGCATCTAAAGAAGAAGAAAAGAAAAAGTTGTTAGTACAATTCTTACAGGATTAAAATATGAAATACGATTCTTGCTGATCACAGGAAGATTGTTTTGTTCTATCTATTTTGAGTCACATACTTTTACTTAATCCTTCAGAAATGTAAAAAGGAAGTAGTTCATATATGAGAACAAGATGTTATGGATTTACAATCTTTGATCATATATCAACAACATCTATGATGTAGAGTCCATCGGGTTGATTCCGAACTCAACGGGTTCTAATTGCTTGGGTATCCTTTTTTTCTTTCAGTTATTATTTATTTATCTTACATTGTACACGAATATGAACTGATGCTTGTCCACGACCAATTGAATTCGATGTCATACATGTATATTCACCTTCATCACTTCGTTTAATTGTTTGTAATGTAAGTGATGGTGAATTGATACCTATAAATTTGAAGATATTGATTTGACAAAAGAAAAAGAAAAAGACGAAAAAAAAGTCAATTGAAATAACAAACCAGTCATTGATACACCATTTTTAAGCCATGCTATTGGTTCAATTATTGATGGATTTGATTGAATTTGACAATCAAGAGTTAAACGATCATTTTCAATAACAAGTAAATTAAGATTTGTTACTAATGTTTGACCATGACGAAGATTTATTTCAGGTTTATCTATTTTTCCCGAAAAAAAAATGAAGAAAATGATGAACATATTAATTCAATTAAAAAAAGAAAATTTGTTTTTGTCTTACATTGAATATTTAATGTACGTGAAGTACTTAATGGATTTTCTAATGCTTTATTATTAACTTGACATATTAATTGTTCATTATGAAAACGTTTTTCTAATGGTAAACGTAATTCACTTGTATTCGATGATACAGTAAAATATGATCCATTTATAGGTATTTGATTAATTAACCAAGTATATGTTGGTGATGGATTTCCACCTTGTGTTGAACAAATAAATACTGCTAAATTATCTTCAACTAAAGTTTCATTTGTTTGATATAATTCTGGTTTTGTTGGTCGTGCTAACAATAAAAAAACAGTAACAATAGAAAGATCATTATTCATTGATATACATGAATTAGCTTTATCTATATGTTCATCTTTCTTTCACTTTCCTCTTCATCTATCGATTATTTTTATTTTCTTTTTTTTTTTTTTTTTTTTGCTGTTCTCAAGATAATGATGTACATGAGTACTTCAAAAGAATAAAAATGTTACATCAACATGAACATTTTGACCTTCATGTCCTTGATTAAAGTCAGAAATAGAAACACAAAAAAAAAAGAAGGGGCACAGTCAGACATCAATCATTAACTTGACCTTCACCTCAATGTGAAGAAAAGGCATCTAACTGTTTGATTGTCATGTATGTATACTACACAATATTCCATTAAAATTTTTTCTTTTTAGACACGGAAATATACGCCGGACATGCTTTCTTTTTTATCTCAGAACAAAAATAATCAATTTAATGTTGTTGTTCTTCCAGAACATAAGGCAAACAATATACATATATATATATATACATCGATCTACTAATAATAATGTTTCTTTTCTTTTGAATACAAAAAAAAACGACAATGTGTGTATGATTAGTCTTCATGTTCGTGCTTGATCGGCTTCAATTTCACTGTCATTCTATACGCCGATATATATGGCCTTGTTCTTTTGTGTCTCACAATTGAGTTGAACATATATATATATATGTTTAAATTGAAAAATGAAAGTACTCATTGCCTTAGGCTTTATGTATGTATGCGCGTTAAAATCAAAGTCTAATATATATATACACACACGGTTGAGATCGAATTTCGTCTGATCCTAAGAAGACATATGTAGGGTGTGGGATCAAGGTTGTAGCTTTTCTTTCTTTTTTTTTGTGTTTTGTTACATGATCTTAATTTTATTTCTTACTTACTTAAAACGGTTAATATAATAGTCATAGATAAACGTTGATCAAAATTTTGACATAAATAGTGTCCATCATCATTACCAACAATATTTTTAATAATTAAATCATATTTACCAATAATTTCATATTTTTGTTTGTCACCTGATATTTCTTGATTGACAGAAAGAACAATACCATTTTTTGACCTAAATTATTTATTAATAGAAACAAAAAAACAACGAAAAAAAAAACAAATTTTGCTTACCACATAACTCGATCTCGATCGGTAAGACGTTCGAATTGACATGATAATACAACATTACGACCTTGTTTTTCGGTAATTGTTCTTGTACTAAGGCCAATCGATGCCTCAAGCCAACCAATAGCCATAGTAAATAATAGTACTCCTTAATATATATACATATATATATAGAAAAGATAATAGTACAATCTTAATTGTATGGCTTCTAGTCTCTTTATCGAAAAAAATCATCATAGGACGTGTCATTTTAATTCTTTTGCACCCATATCTAAACATGGCTGATAGTTATCAATGCAAGTCTTGACTTCACACACATTGAAAGTGCTTTTTTCACTCATCAATTATTCAAGCGTAACCACTTTCATTCTTTTTCTTTTTTATATTTTTCTATAGACAAAATGTCAATCATCTTTGTCTGTCTCTTTCTCTCCACCTCTCGCATTTTTGAAATCAAATGGATCATCATTATCTGCCCTATCGCCTAGACGCGTCAAAAGGGAAATGAAAACGAGATTGATCGCATTTTATGCCTGTCAATTGAATGAATATTTTATTAATCTTCACTAACGAAAAAAATAAAAAGAAAGGAAAAGAAAGGCTCTAACGGAAATCAGTCTTTTGTTCTATGTACAAAAACCAGAAGTTCTTAATCAAATCAGAATATTGGTCAAGACAGATGTGTTTGATTTGAGCAAACTTGTTGGTCACTCTTCTTAATTAACAATTGAGAAAGAGACAAACAATATATTGAACGTCAGCAGATGAGTAAATGTTGATTCTTAAGAAAGGAAATTCAATGCGATTTGTTTTTTTTTTCTTTCGACACAATATGATATTGATATCAATCACACGAACAAGAGAAAAGAGACACAGACTTGAAACTAATTCAAATTACGTTCGAAGAATAACCCATGTTTTTTCACAGTAATCTAATCCAACTATTCGCACTTCTCGAATTGCAGACATCTCTATGTATATCCATATAACAACAAGCAATATAATGAATTAAACCGATAGATCTTCGATCATACGGATTGTCCGTTGTCTAGTTGCCGTAGGGAGTTACCTCATATACATATGCTGTAAGAAGTATTATTGTTATTAACGCCCTTATCTGATTATTTTTGTTTCTGCACGTTCAAGCTTGTCTGTCGTTTTTCTCTCTTAAGTGGGGCAGATTTGTTACAAAGATCGACACGAGCCCCTGTCATGATCATCATCATCATCATCGTTCAGCTAATACCCGCCAAGAATAATCTTATATACGCGAGACGTAACACTCATCATCATCATTGCCTCTATACATAATCAATATAGAAATAAAGAGAAAACAATGGCCTGTTACAGAAGCAATTTTTTTCAAATACGAAGTCAAGTAGAAGATTGTTGTGCAATTGCCATGCGTGCACAACATAAGAAATAATCTTAATTGACACGTAAAAAGAAAATGTTCGCTGTCAATTTAAATCAAGGATAGATATATGCCGGCTGTTGTACTCAATCTGGCACTTGATGGTTACCAAAAAAAAGAAAGAAAGAAAGACAAAAGAGCCAACTTACCAAAGATTATTGTTGAATTCATTTGTTAGTTTGTAAATGAACTGTTCGTGTACAGATACTTGAACGAAATCGCTAATCTGTATACAAGGGCGTAGGCGAATTTTTCGTTTTCTTTGTTACGTCAAGTTAAAGTTCAACATAAGAATGTATATGTCTTCTTCTTGTTCTCGATCCGGGTTGAAATGAATTTATAAATAAACTGTACAACGACAAGCAAGCAAGAGAAAATAGAGGATCAATTCGATTGAATGGGGATAGGATAGGATAGGATAGAGAAAGAGAGTAATGATTATTATACTGACTGATTTTTCTTCTTCTCTTTCTTGTTGTTCTCTCTTGTACAACGATGATGATTATGGGCAAATATGCGTTCGCACAGCAAGAGAAATGAATAAATGAATGACCACTACCTCCTCTCTTCTCTCTCTCTCTCTCGTTCTCTTTGCGTAGAAAAAATGTCCAGAGGAAAGACAAAAAAAAAAACAAAGAAGCAAGAGAAGACATGTCAAAAGAAAACTAAAAAAAAAGAAATGTACAGAACTCTCCTAATTCCATTTCAAAGTTATGCATATGACAACAAAAGACAGACACATCAGAATAAAAATCCCTCGAGCTTTAGTTTTGGATGCATACAAAAAAAAAAGAAGGCAATTGAACATTCGTTTTCTCAAGATGTTCATTGCATTGATCTCCTTCGGCAATATTTGATTTGATTTAGAGAACTTTTTCTTTCTTTTTTTTTTCAAACTTCGTTTTAATATAGATTACATGAACAAATGTTTCCGGTCTCATTAGAAAATGAAACTCTTTTCAATTGTTCATTTGAACCAAACATCCTGTTTAACACGAACATTATGCTTTTCTATTGTATCTAGAAAAGAGTTTTCTAAATGAATGAACATATACATATGGACACACACCTATGAGATAATCCCAGGTGTTACATAGACTATTTTTATGCTTTTCTTCACTTTCATTCGAATTGATTGCATAAGATACAATACATATCTCGATGAATGATCGAAAAATTCATCATTACATATCACCTTGGAAAAAAATTATTTGTTTCGGACATTGAGGGAGTGATTAACTTTCTATGGTTATATGTATAGAACAGCATGTGGCATCATAATCATTTCCATAAAAAAAAAAAGAAAAAGAAAAGTCATCCTAGGCACGGCGTTTTAATTATAGACTATAGAGTTTTTTTCATCATCATATCCGGATTCGTTTTTGTGTCTAGTGACGCCGCCGCCAACTGAGTGACTAAGATGGTGTCATTTCCTCGTGCAAATTATTACTCTTATATATATATATATATATATATTTGTATAGTATTTGAATCTATTGAATAAAAGATTAAACTTTTCTATTCCGTCATCACCAAACAGAAAATTGGATGAGATCAAACGTTTATATGATGTAGATATGCATTAACAATATACAGAGAAATAAGAAGCAAAAAAAAAAGAAAGAAGGAGGAGTAGCAGTGAGAAAAGGATCAGATGGATAAAGATGTGTTTATTTATGTTCATCAAGGGCATTATTCATCCATCGAAAAACAATTACATCAATTTTTTTTTTGTTTGTTTTTTGTCAATATATCGGCACACGAAGCATCCTTTCAACACATCAGATAATGTGAAGGGTAGTATACAATATCTGGCTAACCAAAAAGAGAAAGAACGGGAAGTTCTACTATAATACATGAATATCAATTAGTTAGATTGTACATCGTATGATTTCATCAATGATTTCCGACAATGATCCGCCTTTCACATTGATATTCAACTCAAGAGATTTGCCTGACTGTCTAGTATTCCAATTTTATTCGATTAGCAACATTGAATTTGTATGTTTGACACAATATTATATTTAATGAAAGATTCCGTTGTCCAATGTCCGAACATTTTGTATTTATTCAAAATATATCCTATTGAGATTTTCTATCAATGTAATAGTACGACTAATAAATCTGCATAATAAAACAAAAAGAAAAAGATGACATAGACAGACATATATGATGATGACGATGACAAATTTACTATAACTCATCATGAGATGGATCAATGATTGATCATGCTATGTGCAAAAGTCATTTGCAATACACTAAAAGGATCTTTTTTTTTGTAATACAGAGGATATCATTAATGAGATAAAAATTTGAATTAATCTGATAAAAATCTATATTTTATTTTTCAATAAGTAATGCACATGGGAATGACTGTAAAAAAAAAAATCTCAAATTTCAGTTAGAACATTCGTATCACAATAAGAAAAAGAAATGCAAATCATTAAAACACATTTTCATTAGTAAAACTCAATCATTACTATAACGACTAGTCAAAAGCGTATATTAAAAAAAAAACAAATGAATATGTTTATTAATTATGATTTCTAACGTTTTGTTGAACATCAACTTGTTGTTTAAAATTAAGAACAAGACGACCTAATTGTTCATTACGTTCACGTAAGTATCGAATTAAATCAGCTTGTTTTTCTAGAACATTTTCTCTATAAGTTTCATCACTAGAAAAATAAAAATATAATTATAATGCATGACAAAATTCAACAAGAAAAAAAAAATTAAATATACAAACCGAAAACCAATTTCATTAGCTGATGTTTGTGATGTAACAAAACTTGAAAGTAAATCTTCATGTGTTGCATCTGGACGTGCTCGTCGATGATTAAATTTAATTGTAAGAACTAAAAAGAAAATCCGTAAGAAAATATTTTATTTTCTCCTATAAATAATCATACCCAGATACCATAAAAGTGCAGTTAATATAATGGATACTTCAACTGAAGTAAGTATAACAAGAAAATGCCATGGATATAATTTCACATTTAATCTTGCTAAATCATCTCGATAATTTTCAAGTAGTTCAATTAAAGCAACAAGAATTGCATTTCCTTAATATAGACTAATGATTACAAAAATATTTTAGAATCATTTATAATTACCTGTTGAAATAATAAACAATGGTGTACGTCTTAAATTTCGTGTTTGACGATAAAATTCAAGATAACCATCTCGTCGTGATAAATCTTGATAATGATGATATAAACTATGAATATCATATTTTTTTTGTTATAATGAAATTAGTTTAAAAAAAATATGAACATACCGATCAAAACCAAGACTAACAAAATAACTACCTGCATGAATATATAACGCCATATTATAACCAGAATGATTATTACATTTTACTGAAGTAGCATTATAGGAATTATCAGGACAAATTATAGATGGAAACAGCGCAATACTCGTCATAAAAGTAATCTAGATGAATAATATTCATAAAATAACAAACAAATTTCTATTTTTATTTTTTTATTCTTATCGATTTACCGTAAGAAGAATATGTATCACAATAAAACCAGTTGTTCGAATCGGTCGATAAGGTTGTTCCAAATTATCAATGAGGGGTGTATTTTCATGTACAGCCTCATCAGCTGTAGTAAATGATCGGTCATCGAAGGAGATACCCTTTTATAAAATAAATGTATTATCAACGTGAAAAATTTAAAACTAGCTTGTATCTATCGATTGAACATGTAAAACCAATTATAATATATTATGAAGAAACAAATTGAGTGTTTTTTTTGATTTATATAATTCTCGGTATAATTTATTAAATACAGACTAGAAACTCAAAAACGAAGACGCCGATATATTTTCAATAAGAAACAAAACAGATACGAAGATATTTTTTAATCAATTATAAAAACCGATTCATCACAAGGTCTAACGAATCATTTTTGTATGGATTTAAAATGAATATTTACACCTTGTTTATGATCAAATTGATTTATTATTATTCCATTGAAATCTTATAAATATTACGATTAAAAAATTATTTAGCCTTAATTTTAGAAACATGAACGATGGGTGATTGGAAAATGATTTGACAAAATGTTTATTCATTTCTCGGCCTCGTAAAGCAGCTAACAGAAATTTTTAAACATTGGATTCAAATTAATAAGTTTTGTATTATTTCCGAATATATAAGTTCAAAATTTCTCTAAGACTTCTGGCTTCGAAGTTATGAGGCGACATTTTAGAGGTCCAAACATTAAATTTGGACAAAGAAAATTGACATTTTCTGCATCAATAGTCTCCATTACTACATACGCTATATTACCGATGTTTTGCATAGATCAAGCTCACATTGAAAGCATGTTTTCTCATAGAAATAGAGAAAATTGCCTAAATTTACATAGTGTCCATTCACAAAACATTCACTGTTGATAAATAACGTGCAACAAACTAATTACTAGTATTCCATTTTTTAGCAAAACGTTTGTCCGTTCATTCGCTGTATTTGAAATAATCCTCGCTTCTACTTTGAGTAAGTTTTAGCGAGTGGAAATTTGTTCAAACTTAATTTACAGACCTCTAAACTAGAAGTCGTACAAAAATTTTGAAGTCATATACGGAAACAACACAAAATTCCGATTCTCGCTTAATATATTCAAATTTCGGCAGGCTTCTTTTAGAATCTGAAAAATGAATGAACATTTTGTCAAATTACTTTTTGATCACCTGTTATAGGAATTTTGATTTCTACACAATCCTACATAATGCATTACTTTTCGAGTTCACCGATTCAGAAAATTATCCGGAACTGGAATTAGAACCATGGTTCCGGTTCGGTTCCTAAAATATCATGTGGAACCGTTAATTCCTCACATGGATGTAAATATTCTTGGATCTTGAAATTCTTGAGATCAACAGCACTAGACACTTCATTATTTAAGTAAAACAATCTTATACTGAACTTTTTAATCTCAATATTTCGCGTAGTTCCCTAATGGCGAACACTTTGATTAATTAGTTATTGGAATATTTGATTGTGAGTTCTGTTCTATTGATAATATTAGTATATACTCATGAGAACAAAAGATCATACTACATTTTAAGCTATAGATACGAACTTTACTTAGTTAACAACTGGAAAAGGTGCAAAAGCCATTTTATATAATAAATTACTTATATCGATTAAGACATGAAAATCAGAACGATTCATTAATTTATGTCTATACTTTCAAGTCATGTTTTCGTACCATCAGGGGTGTTCCGTAGTCAACAGGATTCGAGAGAAGAAGTTACCTCCCATTTCCCTTACAGTGGACATTTTGTGAAAAAATGAAAATGATATTTTTTTACGATTTGAATAATGTTCGATATACTTGAACCAATGGCCGACTTTTTGATTTACAAAAATAACTAAGTTTCTGTCATCTTACAGGAAAGTATCTCTTTTTAATGGAAGTAGAAAGACCTATTGAATTAATTGTAGAGTTCTTGCTTTATCGTTTTATATGAAAAACTGTGTTCTAACAGTTTCTCTGCTGGAAAAAGTATGCATGCTTTCTCAACTAAGGGTTTTATAAAAAGATACGTTCAGCGTAGTCGGTATGCACACTTCCAAACTCGATGAAACTTTCACAGAATATTTTTTTCTGTTTAACACGTCTACTCAATTAGTATAAAGATGCGTGAATACTTCCAGACTGAGATATAATTTGTCTAAAAAAACCATGATTTTTAAAGATTTTCCGCATTCTTTTATCCCAGAAGTGTTTTAAGAGAAAAATAAGCACACATTTGAAATAAGTACGAAAAACTGTATCGAATAGTATGACATTTGTTAATTTTTAACATAAAATTTTTTTTGACATCCACGTGCTTTACAGAAATTGCTCACTGTGTATCTTTTACTGGAGGCATCTCTCCGTACCATTACTTTTAAAAACAATCTAATTATAAAATCAAATGATGCAAATCGTAATCATCATTCACATTTTCCCAGAAAATGTTCAAATTGTATTTTTCGAATTGAAACATCAAATATTAACTAATGTCGATTAGCCTACAATGGAATTTTATGTTTTCTTATGTATTTGTTTTGTCAATATAAATATTGTTTTCGATTATAATCTTTGATTATTTGATCACTAAAGAATGTTCGTAATTTGGAAATACATTAAAAATCGCAATTAAGATATAGCCATACTTGAAGAGTCATAATTTCTCAAAATAGATTTAGAAAATTTTTGTATCTATCTAATGATTTAACCGTTCCGCTTTCAATTTTTTTTTTCTTTGTAAACACCGATCTCTAAATACTTTTCTTCTTCCGAATATTTTTGTTTCATCTAAAACTTCTCTTTATTAAAATAAAGCAAATCACCAAACTCACTCCTACACTTCGACCATGTTGTGCATTTAAACTGACCATCTAAAAAGAACTATTGAGTAGTACACAAATAAAAAAAAGAATGTTTTTTTAATCCCATCACAATCAAATATATATATATATATGTATATATATATATTCATCCATCCTTACATTTAGTTCAATACAACAAAAAAGAGGAAAAAAAACGTAGTTTTATTTACGTCGTTTATATTATCATAAGAAAAAAAATAATAATTAATAATAAAGACTAATTGTATACGAATAAATAAATCGCAACAATTTAATGTGTTTGATTAGTAGTTAAAGCGATGAATAATCAAAAAGAAAAACAGAAGTAGAGAAGAAAAAAAATGCTACTGCTCTGAATAAAAGCAGTCTCACTGTGTGTTCGATTTGCCTTTTTTTTTTGTTTTTATCAGAAAAAAAGATAATATTTTAGTGAGGTTCATCAATGTGAGAAAGCAAAAAAAATGAATAAATCGTGCTTGAAGCTTATATTCAAGGAATTTTGTTCAAATAGTATTAAAGAAATGGATTGGTTGAATTTGTACGTGGTTTTCCAAATTGATTTGGTGGTTGTTGGGCTGATGGTTGTTGAGCAATATTCTAAACGAAGAAGAAAAAAAGTCAAATAGATTAAAACCTCATTTAAATATATACCAAAAATGGATTTGGTTGATTAGTTGATGGCATATTAAAAAAATTTGATGTATCTATAAAAATAAAAAATTCATTAGATTAGATAAGAATGATACTTTTGTTTTTTTTTAAATTCGTCTTACTAGCTCCACCGAATGGTTGTTGTTGTTGTTGTTGTATAAATGGATTTGAATTGGAAGGAAATTGTGTTGGAAATGGTTGAGAAGAAAACATATTTGTTTGTTGTTGGACAGGAAATTTTTGAGTTATACCTGTAGATGTTGAAGGAATTTGAGATGTACTAGATGAAAATGGTACGTTGCCAAATAGAGAATTATTTAAACCTGGTGCAGATGTTCGATGACCTATTGAAAGACAGAATATGAAAATTTATATATATATATATATATTTTTTTTTTATTGATTATCGAAATACCTCCATTAACTGTATTTCCAAATATGGAAGGTTGTTGATCTTTTATTGTATTCTGTGAACTGAATAATTCCGAAAGAGCAGCATATTTATCAGCCTATGAATTTTATATTAATAAAAAAAAAAATTTTAATTAAATAAAATCAACTAACTGGTTCTGGAGGTGGATGAGCAAAAGCATTTGTTGGCATAGACATTGTATTTGTAAGCGTAGTTGGTGGATGTTTAGGTGTTTCAACAAACGCTCCCCAATTTGTATCATTGGATGATGTTGTTGTTGTTTGTGTAAATGGTTGTTCTAAATATAATAAATAATTAAAACGGAAAATTGAAATTGATAAAATTACCTGAGAAAAAATTTCTCGGCGGTGATATACTTGTTGTTGTAGGTACTGAAGATTGTAAGATATCATCGAGAATTGCTGAAAACCAAAAAGAAAATTTTATAATATTCTAAAAGAATCAATCTATAAGAAAAACATCGGCTATTGATTAATAAGGATGTTAATTAATATGTAGAATTCTTCAATTTAAAAACTTACGAGGGAACTTCTCCAATTGATATATGTCACTGTCAAGTCGAGATTATGTAGACCCAAATGAACTATGAATACAGTTTGTATCCTTAGTTTATTGCTGTGGTTCGAGTCCATCGAGTTGGTCTCGGATCCGGATCTGAAAATTTTGGACCCGACGGACTCTAGTCATACCTCTACAGAAAAACTTATTTTTGAACTTCGCCTAGAGACAAGCCTTAATGAGAATAGCTTATTGTGAAACTTTCAGATCTTGTCGCTATTCCTATTGCAAGATACAACTATGATAAAAGCATGTCTTCTACATCGCTCGTACCAATCGGTAGATTTGATGCTCTTATTTCACGATAGAAGTAAAACAAAAGATCTGAAACTTTAACAATAATCTATTCTCGTTAAGATCTGTCTCTAGGGAAAATTCGAAGATCAGTTTTTCTGTTATCACAACATACATTTTAAAAATACCGTAATTGTGTAGTATCTCCGCAGTAATAAGCTAATGATCGAAACTCTTTTCAGGACATTCATAGCTCACTTGAATTTATATAATCTCGACTCAAAAGCGATACTCTCTATGTGGTCTCATAGTAAAAACAATACTCTACATTTCTGTGATATTTGATCATTCTTTAACTAATTTTATAGTAATAGAATTTCGATAAGAAATATTTGCTATGGTAATATTAGGTTACATTTTGTCTTCGATGTGTATCTTATTCTTGTTTTTTCTTGTCTTCCCTAACGTCTAGCTGTTTATATATATATATTGGACTATAAAAAAAAAGGAAGTACAGAAACAAATCCATCAAACTTTTAAATGTTCGAAATAATCATCTTCACTATTTTTTCTTGCCATCACTGTAATCTCATAGATCCTGTCAGTGTTAGAAAAAATATAATGAAGAAGAACGAGCATGCAACAAAAGAAAGAAAAGAGAAAAAAATAAATGTGATCAATATAAAAATAATGCATTTATTATTCCTTGCTCATTGAAATAAGATACTTCTGGAAAAGCCTGAAGTAGCGATATCTCTTTCAATTATTGCTATATAGTCTATGAATCTCTCGGATCTTCTTAAACATCTCATCGGCAACTCTTCCTGGGGCCAAGTCATTCTAAATTTATTTAGATTTTGCTTTAAGCAATTCCCCCGTCAAGTACATAGGCAAAAAAATTTTCGTTCCATTGTCCACAAAACACTACTCGACGAACAACATGCATACTAGAAATAATCGTCCTGGTTATTCAGTCAATTACATTCCTTGCATCTATTTATCGAACGTTTATTTTTTTTATACTCTTCTTTATTAAAAAGAATGCATAAACTTGTTTCTACATTTGTTTTTTGTTCTACCATCTACACTTTTTCTATATCCTAATATGTATAGACAACTAGACATTAGAAAAGACAAGAGAAAGGAAGAAGATAAAATGCAATTTCATATTTCAGCCACATATCATAATAAATACTTCTTATCAAAATTTTATTATTATAATATTAGTTGAAAAATGATTAAATATTAGAGAACTAAAAAGCATCGTTTTTACTATTAGATCGTACAGAGAGAAAGTCTATTTAAAGAATTAAAATACTTTTGGGGTATGCCCCAAGGACATTTCATTTAATAAAATTAACAAGTCAAAAGTTTAGATTCATCATATTTTTTTTTACTAATTAAACTCACATGTTGAAGATGTAGTATTTGTTGTAGTAGATACTGGTGCATCAAACACAAGCATTGGTGGTTGAGATGATGTGACTGGTGGAGCTCTAGTTGTCTAATTAATCATTAAATATACACATATATATATATATTGATAAAACTACATTATAAAAAAGAAGTCTAATAAACTAACACGTGCAACATTTGTAGATACAGTTGATGATGGTTCCGGTGGTGATCTAATCGAACTTGTTATACTATGTGAATGTGGGACAGTTGATGATGATTTTGTATGAGTAGTAGTAGAAGTAGTATGAGTTGTTTTATCGAGATTGGCTTCTGTATCAGCTTTTACCTTTTGTTTCATTGCTTCTGTTGGTTCAACATACCATCTATGAAAATAATTTTATTGATTAAAATTATTTAAAAAGAATAAAAAGAACAAAGTAATTATTAAAACCTTTTTTTCTCATATTTTTGTGAAAGAAATTCTTTAAAACGTTCTGTATCTTTAGGATCAGGTGAAAAACCAGCATTTGCATCATATAAACCAAGATAAACCATTTTATTTAACTGAATAATAAAAAAAAACATATATATAATTCTTTTCTAAATATAACAAAAAATTTCACCTGATTGCCACGATTTTTCATTAATTCAACTTCATCTTGACTAAATGTTGACATATTTATTGATTTAACACGATGTGGTGGATTTAAACCTCGTCTAAATATAAAAGAAAAATTTCTCAAATTTTTTCATACGAATTTTGTTTTGTTATTTTTTTTTCTTCTTCTATTTAACATTTATTCAGAAATGTGTCTTATCATATAAAGAGGAATGTTGTTTCATTATTTTATTGGCATTTTTCAGAATAATATACTTTTACTTTCTCATCTAGTTCATTTCACTCAAGGGATTTTATGACCTTCACTAGTTTTTCTTGTTTTAACCAGTATCAAATCTAATTTCTTTTATTAAATATATTCCGGAAAAATAAACTAGAAATGAATTATACTTTTACCAAAGAAAATAATGTCATTTTCTAATCTACTTACAAAAGGCCACTACATGCTGTACAGATGAAACTACCAACAGTAACACTAAAAGATTCCAAACAAAAAAATATTTTAGTTGTTTTGTTTAATTAATCAACTTACTCAACATAAGTTGGTCCTTTTGAATTACAATCAAAACATTGTTTATTCATTGGTAATGATGCCAATTCACGTATCATTTGAACATATTTTTCTTCTTGACGTTTATTTTTTGCTGAAGAATTTCCTGCCATTGATAAAGCTTTTTATTTTTAGAATATGTATAGAAATCTAGAATAGATTAATCCCAATTGAATTTGTAGATTTGAATTAAGTTTATTTCAATGATGTGACGTTTTTTTTTGTTACATTTATTTAGAATATTATGATATTCAATTATATATTTTTTTTTTCTTCTTTCGAAATTCTAATGAGTAATGGATTATTTAAATTGAATAATAATCAATGTCTTTGTTTTCGTCTTGTTTGTAATATATAAACACAATAATGAATATAATTTTTGAAAAGGACAGAAAAAAATAATTATAAAGAACGAACGAACTCTTGCATCTATCCTTCTTTTTATTCTATCGAAACAACAAGCACAACAAAGAATAATGGTGATTCATAGTACTATATTCACGATTGGTAAAAGTTCTTGATCAATAGCGAAAATTCAAGGATTCAACTAATGATATACGTGATTGAGAACAGCTCAGCTTTTGACCTTTTTTTTTGGAAATGTCAAGAAAGTTTGTGAGATTATAAATAAAACAAAAAATAATTTAATAGATGTCACTTTTATTGTATTTTAAGGTTAAAGGAAATAGCTTCCGACTATAACAGTTGACACGATTAATAATCATGATTTGACTTAATCTTAAGTACTTCTATCAATATTCAATCAGCATCATTGAATGAAACGAAACGAATGAATCAAATATAACGAAAATCAATGATATTATAATAAACTATTGTTTCTACCAAAGGACTTGATGTTTACTGAACAATCCCATATTATTTATTTTTGAAATGATATTTTAATTTCATAACACATCATATCATAGATCTATATTATCAGTATGGTGATATCATCTATGCATTATTCTAACTATCAATTAATTCATAACAGTATATTTTATTGAAGTTGTTGTAATAGATTGTGTTTATTGAATGGCAAGACTAAAATCAACATTTTTTTTATTATTCTTTTTCTTCTTCTTTTGTTACAATATAAAGATATGCAAGAAGAAGAACAACAAAAAAGAAAACGTATGTCTGTAAAAACAAAAGGAATCCTGAATATCTTTGACATCAAATAAACATTGATTTGTATTAGTGTAATGTGTTATATGCTACAAAAAAAGAATGTATGAATTTCAGATATTGCAATATTAACATTGGTTTATCTTTTGATTCTAATAGTGTAAATTAGTTTGACTAAGTTTTTTCTCATTTTTCTTGTCAATAAAGACGCTTTTACTTTTTGGCTTTTACACAACAACATAAAGTAAAACTGGAAGAATAAAAAACTCTTAGAAGGTTTCGTTGAAAGAAAAATAATGAATATTTTTTTGTCACTTATTTGATTGTGTTAAAAAGTGTTTGTGTTAGACTCTCTTCTCAGTTCGACAAATATGAAGTCCATATTCATTTGTCAACGACCGTATTAAATGGTTCCGTATTACAATTATATACTTCTGTGACCATACATGAAGCAAAATGGAGAACATTTACGATTTCTGTATACGAAGAGAGTAAACGAGCATTTTTTTTTGCCATCAATCATCATATTTCTCCGTAAACAGCCGTTAACGACCGTGTCTGTTTGATCTGATTTGTTCCTTTTAAAAACATATTGAACACCATGGAGAATAAAGCGATAGTTTTCATGTAGAAAGAAAAATAAAGAAGAAGTTCGAGAGAAAATTTTTGACGAGCAGCCAATATTCTTTAAAAGCACGTACTATTCTCACTCTTTCATCCAAATTTATTTTTCAACGAGTTCAAATCGACAGTGCATGTTTAATTCATTCTCGGATAGAATCTGTCAAGTCGAAAACTTTCTGATCCGATCGAACCGTAGTTTGATATTCTCCATGAAATTTTTTTTATCGGAATTAGGTAGTCGTTCAGAAGATTCGAGGTACTTTTTCCAGTTTTTTTTATTCGGTGACTAGCGCATTCTACACATTTCTCAGGCGACTAGAGCGCATCGGATGCAAGTTCGGGATCAATCCGACAGACTCTGCTACGGACAGGAAAAGTCCATAATAGTTCGCAATTTCAGCAGTCGTATTGTCAAACTTGAACAGCTGAAATCCAAATATTCGAATGTTTCACGAAAGCACATGTAAACAAGGTATCACTCTAGTACAGGCAGCCACGAATTGTTAACGCATGCAAAAAGCAATAGCGAATATTTGAAGAGTTGCACAATAGTTCAATAATTAAATTCGACTCCGAAGTTTGACAATACTGAAGATAGCTTGAGATCAGATCTTTCACAAACAATATAATTTTTTATTTGGCACGTCGTTTTTTCCAAAAATTGTCGATGATTTCCATCACCTTCCACTTGGAAAATATACTATTCTGATCGCGCATCTCAATGTTCTTGAAGAAGCTTCATTGTAACCAATTGGTTTTTTTATTTGAAAGAGTATGCGAAGTTGTAGTGCCTGACAAAGTCGATTTTTTGAATTTTAATTTTTTTACTATTATATGAAAATGCATTTCTATAAACAGACGATCGTTTTTTAAAATTTTTTTATGCATCAAACTTGCCACCCTTTTTCTCCGCATAAAAAGTAAGAATTTGAAACAAAAGAACTCAATCAACACCGCATTCTGATATATTCCTATAACTCTTTGGCCATCAACATAAGAGAGAGAAAAAAGCTCTTTAGAAAATCATTATAGCTATTTATTTTTGATCTAATTTTACGGATTTATACGAGATAATGTTATATATTTTGTAAAATATGGAAGTCTTTGAAACAGTCGGTAATGCACAGCCGAACATCTTATTCAATATACTGGTAGCGCGTATCGCTTCGTTCCTTCATACTTCGTTCAATATTGCTGCAAACATAACATCTTCTTCGAGGAATGTAGCTACTTTCATTTGGAGAAATTAGAAACCGGAAGTGTCTGGCTGTCAATCGTAATGGATTAGCAATCAATGGTCTGCCAACATGTGATCCTTTGAAATCGTACTTTGCAATGCATTCTCGATTGAGAAGATACAGAACAAAAGATGACCATCTGTATAACAAACTGATTGTTCCTCATACAGAGTCCTTCTTTTAAGGCACGACTTTAGAACATCTATATATATAATGTTCAGTGTGTGTGTGTGTGTCTGTTTCTCTGTGCCGGGTCAAAGGGCAAAGGTTAAAGATTCTAGAATTTTCTAGAACATTCTGGATGTTTCTGGAACCTTCACTGAGGACCTCAGGGATAGGTTAAAGGTGAAAAAGTCAAAGGTCAAATAAGACTATAAGGGGAAGACGCCAAGGGCTACCGGGGACTCATAGGTCCTCATGGGCTATTATATGGGGGTATCCATAGATCCTCATGACCTATTATGTGAAGGTGCTCATAGGTCCACAAGAGCTGTTATATGAGAGTACTCATAGGTCCTCAAGGGCTATTATATGGAGGTACCCATAAGTCCTCAAGGACTATTGTGTGGGGGTATCTATAGATCTTCATGAACTATTATATGGAGGTACTCATAGGTCCACAAGGAGTATTATATGAGGGTACTCATAGATCCTCGAGGGCTACTATATGAGGGTACCCATAGGTCTTCAAGAGCTATTATATAGTGGTACTCATAGGTCCTCAAGGGCTATAAAGCTATAAGGGGGTAGGGGTAGGAAATAAGGCTACAGGAATATGAGGCTATAAGCTGGTAAGGAGATAAGGGTATAAGGCTATAAAGAGATAAGGATATAAGGGTAATGGGGATAAGAGGCTAAGACTACAGGGGCATAAGCGATAAAGCTAGAAGAGTATAAGGAGATAAGGGTATAGCAGATAAGTAGATGAGGCTGCATGGGATATAAGAGATAACGGAACAACGGAATAAGGCTATAGGAAGCAATACTACAAGAATATAAGGCTACATGGGGGTAAGGCTATAAGGTTTCTCTATATATAATGCGGACTGTCTGATTGTCTATTACCGAATCAAGGCTAAAAGACAAATGTGAAACTTTACAGGAAAAAAGGATCCGTGCAGTATGCACGGGCTCTCGCTAGTGCTTAATATAATAATGAGTTCGTTTCGAATGGTTTTGACACATTCTCTATGATTTTGTCCTATTTTGTTAATAATTTCTTCATCAACAGTATATGCTATTTTTCCTTTTCTATCACAACAAGGTATTGTCTTGATACGTCTTCATTTTTTTATAGTTATTGACAATGTATTGAACCGTAGTTTTTGTAGTTCATACGATCTCGGTAATTTCACAAAGATTTTTATCCAATAAATAATGTTTTGTAATCAAGTGTCGAAAATCTTCAGAATATTTCCTGATTTTTGGCATTGGTTATTTTGTTTTACACAACAAAGTGTACTTTGAATGGACTATTCCGTTCTTTTTTTTTTACAAATGGGAGACAGTTGATATACTTTTACTATGCAAACAACTTCAAATACGTACAGAAAGACACGATAGATCAAGAATGTTCTTGAACAAAGAAGGATCAAAGAAAAGTACATGTTAAGATAAACATAACGTAGAAAGTAAGTAAAATAGTCTAATTTAATAGACAGACTTTTAATAACCACCGTAATCGATTTTAGAGAAGAAGAAATTAGCAAAGAACATGTATAAATGATATCAATAATAATTAAGAAAAACGATAGAATATCTACAGTCGCAATATGGGGCGCATGAAAGGATTTTTTCGGTGCGATCCTTTGGAACCACAATGCGAAACTCACATGTTACATATGCGATAAGAGATAATTTAGCACATGCTTCTCATGTAATGAAATGTAGCATACAATTTAGAGCAACTTGAATGAAAGGCAATAGTCGTTTCTATTGGGCACCTGTCCATAACCGATGAGAAGTGGTTAATCTCGAATCAAGTGTTATAATCACATATTTCATACATGAGTCCTACAAAAACAAATTAATTCAACTTTTTTGAAACTAAGAAGAACGTAAAATGTCATTGTTGTCAACATCGTACGGATAGTTTTTTCGTCTAAAACATGCATAATTTTCAAGCAGTAATCTCGCATTCAAAACAAACTCAATCAACAACGTTGATTTCTATAGTGCAAATATTAGACAATATGATGATTATTTTGATACCAAATAAATCTTAAATAGTCTATATTTTGACTATATTTGATCAGAAAAGAATTCACACGGTTAATTATTTGTCGCAGTTGTATGTTACAATGTTACTGATTATTAATGTTTAGTTTATTCAGTAACGACTTTCATTTAAAACTGCTGATCCCATATATTTCCCAAACGATATATTTCAATATCGGTCGTTGTAAAATTAGTTGAGCCAGTGAATGTTAAGTAACCTTTGCCAGTTGAATCTATATAGTTTGAAGGAAATGTAATAAAACTTTGAGAATTCAAATTGCTATTTGGATAAATACAAATGTCATATTGACCAAATGTAGGTCCCATTGCATTTGGTATTGTCGCATTTTCACCTGTTGATTTGATTGTATATTTAGTAGGTGACAAACCATGAGGATTATTTAATGTGAATATAAATGCAGTTCGATCCATAACACCAGATTTAACACCTTGATGAAAATTCCAACTGACTGATGTATATCCACCAAACAAATAATTGTCCAAAGATTGAATAACAGTGATTGTTGGACCTTTACTATCACAACAACGATGAAAATCATCAATTGTAAAGCCATCTTTTGCAGCTTTATATATTAAATGCCACTTTTGATTGTCATTTCCATAAAATTTACTTAATTGAAATTGATCTTCTTGAGTTAAAAGTGTTCCACCAACAAATAATTGTTTTGGAGGTGATATATCATAGTTGAATATTGGTGAGGTTTCTACAAAAACACGAAGTATTGTTGACCAATCAATTGGTGTTACACTTAATCGAATACGAGGTGAATGAGTATTAAGTGTTGCTTGAAGATTTTTAAGTTTTGAATTCAAGTTTTCGATAGAAGTATCAGTACTATGACGTCGTCGAAATTCATTAGAATCTTTTCCAGCAGCCACATTATTTGACATCATTAATGTATGAGCACGTTGTCGAGCATGATCAGCTGTTTGTTTAACGAGTAATAATGTTCCTCGTTCCCATGCATCGATTTCATCGAGAAGAGTTACTGGTTGAGGTCGAGTTGAAATTGATGAACGGCGAGAACTAGTCATTTTTTTAATAATATAATATGTGATGAAAAAAATTGACTTGGATTGCAATTGTGAAGAGGTAAAAATGCGCCGTCAAAAAAAGGAAAGAATATTATTTGAAAAAGTGAGAAAGTGCATCCGATTCGCATTGCTAAGAAACGTAAAGAATTGGCAACTTTTTTTTTCTTTCTGTTGACGACAACATGTTTTTGCATTAAACTCAGAAGAAAAACAACGTTATGTGGCATGTAAATGATGAGAGTGTTTTTTCTTCGTAAGACAGTATTGTTGACAAATCATTAATTTCACTCGATGTTGTTTTTGGTTATATGAAGAAGTTATTTTAGTTCTTCTTTGTAGTTGAATTATATTGTTCGAAATCTACAAAAAAATCTTTTGTTAAGATATACTCATGATCAAGAAATTGGAAATTCATCGAATTTAAGGAAATCAAGTCGGATTTAATCTTTGAATGTCCATATCAAGGTTGTATGTCTCAGTTGTTGAGAACTCATCAATGGATTCGTGTGTGACAATGTTTCAAATCACCTCAGTTTAGAATGTCTTGAATTTTCTTGAATTCTTTGAACGTTTAGAAATCCAAAAAACTCAAGAAACCCAAGTGTAATTCACTATGTGGAGCGCCTGAATAGAGATTCTATATGCCAATCTTTGCCACTCCTTGAGTGGGATTGTGTCATGATGTTTCGAACCACTATCATTATAGAATGTCTTGAATTTTTTCAAATTCCACCTTGTTCGTTATTGAATTTCCAACTATTGGATGCTGTGCACTGCTTGTCATATTTCGTTCAAGTACGGCTAAATAGCATGTTTTTGGCAAGAAACTTATATTTGGAACTATTATCGATTTTTTGAAAAAAATCGCTTGGAGAGAGTGCTTATAACTTTTGAAGGGAAAGAAATAAAGATTTGCGATTTTCATTGTTGGATAGAGCACAGTTGGGCACGTAGTACTATGAAATAATCAGGTCTTCAGGTAATGTTTACTATGCTAAATCTTTGAATGCAAATTCGACGAGATTGCCATTCTCTAAATGTATGACGAATTTTCATTTCCAAATAGGGAAATCACTAGCTCGGATCGAGATCTACGAGTCTAGACCTACTCCATGCCTGTAATTCTTACAGTTCGGAAGTTATGAGCATTCTTTGCAAAGGTATAATGTCTTTTGAAGCTGATTCAAGTTCAGAAATGTTCCCCAAGATCCAAATAAACAACACCACGATGTTCAGAGTATCTGATAATCCATAATGTCAAGTGTTTTTAGAATTTTTGTCTGTATCTGGATAGGAGTAAATATCTTTGTGAAGAAAGCTTATAACATCCGAACTGTAAGAAACACAGAGCTGGAGCCGGTCTAGAATCGTAGATCTCGATCCGAGCTAGTGATTTTATTATTTGGAAATCAAAATCCGTCACACATTTAGGGAATGGCAATCTCATCAAATTTGCATTCAAAAAGACTTATATTTAATTCAACAATAAAAAAATTGAAATAAGCAATAATCAAATTTAGTAATAAGTATATTTAATCAGCAATAAATATATTGAATGAGCAATATGTATAATGAATGAGCAATAAATATACTGAATGATGAATAATTAGATGGAATGATCAATAATTAATTTAAGTAAAACATAAATGTATATAAAAAGGGCGATAATAATTCGTTTGTTTACTGCAATAAGTGTTTTCTCAACTTTATGAAATACTATATGTGATTTATACACATGGCTCAATCGCGAAGTGTAGCACACTATATTTCTGATTCTGAAAATGACATTGATAAGGAAATTCAACCTTCTGGCAACACTGAAACAGTTAAAAGAAAAAAGCAAAACAGGCGAAAATGGGTACCATTATGCACATATAATGATAAAGATGATATTATTAATAAAATCAACAATGATAGTATATGGAGCAAAACACATACCAATATCACAAGCGAAGGAAAACGGGTTTATTATAGATGTAATCAAGTCAAATGGCGTGGAAAACAATGTCCAGCAAGTATTCATCTTTTATATCATAGTGAAAATGAATGTATTACAATGTACAAATCAGAAGATGATCATTTACATCAAGAATCAAGATCTATTGGCATAAACCAACAATCAAAAGAAGTAATATGCGAGTTATTCAAAATGAAAATCAAGCCAAAACGCATGCTAGAATTATTAGAAGAGAAAGGTTTACCTGTTCCGAAAAAACAACAATTATCGAATTATTTAACATCATTAAGAGAAAAATGTTACGGTACTTCAACTATTAGCTTAGGTGAACTCAAAGCTTGGTGTTAACAAAATTCATTTATACCTGACGATGATGATAAGCCTTGGGTATTAAAATATCAGATTGAATATGAAGATGGAATTAATAATGATGATGATGATGATGATAATGTTAGTAATGATGATGATGATAAAAATAACTTTCGATTCTTTGTCACAACTAAAAGATTATTATTTAATGCAAGTATTTCAAATAAAATCCATGTTGATGCCACTTACAAGTTAATCTGGCAAGGGTTTCCTTGTTTTATTATTGGAACAACTGATATAATCAAACAATTTCATCCATATGGATTTGCAGTATGTTCTAATGAAAAAGAAAAAGACTTTGAATTTATATTTAGTTATATTTGTGATGGCTTACGTAATTTAAATTTGCAGATGAATGAACAAGAATTAGTACTTATTCATATGCGGAAACGTGTAGAAAAAAAATTAAATTTAGTCGAAGATAAAGCTTTACATGATGAAATTATGAATGATGTTGAAGCATTATATTTGTAAAAAAATAGAAAAACATTTAACATTGCTACAAGATTATTCTTAAAAAAATGGGAGAAGCAAGAAAGATTTATTCAATATTTCTCAAGTGAATGGTTAGAATCGAGAAATGGGTGGTATGAAGGCTTATCAATGTATGTTCCCAGCACAAATAATGTTTTAGAAGCAACAAATCGTGTGATTAAAGATGAAGATACATTAAGAGAACGGTAAGTATTATCGAGATTTACAGTTGTTATATTTTCTATAGTCAATAAATGGTCAAAAGAACGAAATCTTACTCTTATCAATTCAAAAATATTCGAACATCAGCCATTAATAACATCATCACATTGGACTGATGCATACAATTGGGTTAAGCTTAACAAAGAAGTTATATCTATTTTCAACGATGATACAGCAATATATTATTTGCCTGCTCGTGAAGAAATTATAATAACAGGTAAAGAAATAAAACGTTATGAAACTTGTAGATTTAACTCATTTGACATGTACAAGTCCGTCTACTTCAATATATGGTGTGTATACTTATCTAACAATGCAGAAAAATGGAAAGAAGCAGCTTGCACCTGTTCATCATTCTTGAAAAATTATATTTGTAAGCACATCATTGGTATGTCCATTAGATTAAAATATTGTAAACCTCCACCTGAGGCAAAAAATATGGCAATTGGTACAAAAAGAAAAAGAGACAGACCATCGAAAGCAAAAAAAGCTTTAGTAGTACAATGATTAGTTATATATATTTCATTTTTTTTGTTTCTTGTCAATTGTAAATAAAATAATGTAGTTTTTCTCTTTTTTTGTTGCTCAAATATGAAATTAATGTTGGTATGTAATAAATTATTTATTACTAATCTAATATTATAATATTGCTCAAATCAAGTTTTCTTATTGCTCAAATAAACTTTCCATATTGCTCAAAAGTTACTGCTAAATCGTATGTTAATTATTGCTGATTCCAATATTTTTATTGCTTAAATAAATACGACCCATTCAAAAATTTACCATAGCATACTTTACCTGAAGGCCTAATTATTTCATAGTACTACGTAGTCCTCTGTGCTGTACCCAGCAATGAAAATCGCAGATCTCTATCACTTTCCCTTCAAAGGTTACAAGTATTCTCTCCGAGCAACTTTTTTCAAAAAATCGATAATACATGTATTATCTTACCGGTCGATTGTGTCATTGCGTTTCCATTTCTTACAGAAAGTTTCTCTATACGTGCGTGCGCAAGCGACAAAAATAGGAAGCGATCAAAAGTAAGCGAAAACATTCTTCTTTATTTATCAAAGGTATTTTACAACTTCGTTTTTACAATTTCAATTCTTTCTCGCACATTTGAAATATTAGGATGATTAGAAGGTAATGAACGTTGTTTAATGTCAAGCGCACGTTCAAAATATAAGAGTGTTTTCAAATACTCTGTCATATTTTCATTACAATCTCCTCGCGTATACATTTGGTGAGTATGTAAAGTTTCTTGATCGTCATCAGCAGTCAGTTTAAGATCTGCATGATAAAGCGGACTGTTATTGTTCGGTTTTTTAATTTCATCGATACGAAAGACGATGTACATAGAGAAGAGAACTTCTTCTTCTTCCGTCTGGAAGTAGCTAACCTCCTTGATGGAAGCGAATGGAGCTGACATGATAGATGGATCAAAAGACATTTGAAAGGGGATGCCGACAAAATCAGTTTTTCCTAACGCACTTTTGGCACAGCTCAGAAAAACTTCTTGATTTGTACTCTTGAACAAAAAATTGTTAAAGGACATAAGTTCATCTTTTGTTTTTAGGAGTTTTTCGAAGTGAGTGAGGGATAAACCCTGCTCTAGATAGACAGTAAAGTACTTGCTATGGTAGCTATTGACCTGCTCTTAATGTAGTAGTTCGATTTGATAATGAAGATTGCCAATGAAGAAGACCATAGTTATGATTTTGTCGGCTTTCAATGTACAAAGTGCTCCATTCAGCATTTGATACCTGAAACATTTACGCGTGTACTATCAAAACGACGACGTTGAGCGACAATCACGTTCGAATTCATTAATAATAGTTAATTCACCCATATTTTTATAGTAAATTTTGTGGCAGTAAATGGCTAAGTCTTTAATGGACTTCTCGTCATGTTCCATTTCAAGGACAATTTCCTTGAATATCCGCTTGTACGTGAATGAGGAAGGCTTCAGTTTGTTCAGATCTTCATTGGACGTCCCTTTATGTACCGTGACAAAGCTCACGGCAATGTCATTTTGACTACATTGCTTTGGGTTCATTTGCAATGCTTTGCAAATGAGTGTGATTTTCGTATACACGTCCTTGATTTTGGCCTATTCTTTTATTCACTGTTCATGTCGAGATTTATCGCCGCAAAAGATATAAATTACATATAACTATGGTATGACATGAATTTGTGGCACTAGATATGGACCTAACTATCCTGAAGCAATGACTAAAACCTCTTCGACGTCGATAGTGTTAAGGAATTCGATACATTTATCTGATTTAGTAAAAATATTGACGTCGCTGACGACGTCTTGTAGTTGTACCAGCATCTTTCAACAATCTTCTTCTGATTGGTCAATGTTGGCATCCACACAACCAAGCAGGTAATTTTGAACCGTACGTTTTCTTGGATGTCGATGTGGATGCAAATCTTCTCTGCTCTGATATTCCCACCACATTGCACTTACATCTTACATCCCCACCCTTACCAAATTTCAATCACATGCAATTTTATTTAATCGTTTGTTAATATCTGCTAGAAAAATGAAGTGCGGCAAGACTGTTTAGGATGTGGGTATGGATGCGGACGTAAGTGTGGTGGGTGTGCATGTGTGAATCTTGTTTACACATTCACATTCATCCACACTCATACTTACATTCATATCATGCTGCATTCTCGACGAAGCTTATTGAAAACGTTCCTTTAAAATTCTGAATTTATAATGTAGTATTAAACAAAACAGATTAGAACAATATCAGCATACAAAACCATTGTTGTCTACAAGATAGTACACAGAGACGAGAAATTTCATCTTATTCTTCGTATTTTAAAATGGCTACAAGTGATTTTATGTAGACAAGAAGTTAGAGTATCGTAAGATCGAAATATGGATAAACATTCTCAACAGAAATCAGTTTGACATTTTGTACAATTCATATGACCACAACCAGAATTCTCAATGCTGACTCAACACTTTGGACATTGTTTTGTATAATCTTTTATGTATTCATACGATTTTCGATCAAGTATACACGCTCATCGTTCATAATCTTCATAAATGATTCCATCATGTCATAGAGTTTTTATAGACAAAACGTGTCATCTTTCCACATTGAATACAAACTACTTTTGGATTAGAAGCAGAATGACTTTCTTCTGAACCACATCCATGTGCACAACAAATAAAATTATGCAGTTTTTCCAGACGTTTTACATTCAGATAAGAATCAAAAGCTTCGAGCAACTCGATATTGCGATTTTCATTCGAAATTTCAAATACTATATCTGGCTTCAATAGTACTTCACAATCAGATTCAGGATATTTTATTGGATTTCCGATTGAATTTCGGGTGTTTGTAGTTTTTTTTGGTCCTCTTTCAAACATACACCAGCACCCCACACTCACACCCTTTTCAAGTAAAATTCTTTATATAGCTTACACATTCTAATTGTTGATATATAAGTCGATAAGGCACAAAAGCTTGTCTGACCGATCATAAAAGCATTTATTACGTTTTGCTACTCCTGCTTACTAGAGGCCAGTTTACTTGGTCACGACATGTTGTTCTGAAATATTCTACCACCACGAGAAACTGACGTTTTACTCCTTCGAAAGGAGTATCATGTGTTGGAATTTCGAGCTCGAACAAATTGACGAGGGGTTTGAAAAGTCAGTCATACTGTGACTTTTGTGAAGTGGAAAGTGAGCGGAAAGTGACTAAAGCTATTCCCTTAATTTACTTTAACAGTTGTAAGACCCCTCAGTAATGTTCAAAGTTAGTGCTTTCTTCATTGAGAAATTCATTCTGCAAATCATTTCGTCAATAGTGTGTGTATGTGTGTGTGATACTACAGTAAGTGTAAATAAAAGTATATTTTAATAGCGATGCAAGTCAGATCATTGATGACTACTAGTTGAAAACTCTAGCAGATAATATACCTATGATCCAAAGCCAAATTGCAGATATCTCAAATCTTTGTTTTTCAAACCCACTTGTAGCTTCGTACGTTGTATTGGGCAAGAGCTCTACACTAGTGCAGTTGGTGTTCGTGACCATACAGTTATAATGAATTTCTAGCTGACTAGATTTCAATTCATAATCAAAGACTGCAACCTTTCCAATTGCTCCTTTGAAAAACGATTGTAGTTGTCGAGTTCCAATGCGCATTGGTGCTGCACCATTCTGTGGTATAATACTGTATCCTAATAACGAATCTTGATCGCGCTGGATCCCGCTCTTGAAAATTTCCGTATAACCAGTTGGATACGTGCTACTAACGTTAACTATGTTAATAGTGAGAGTGTACAAAATCCATTGCCCAACGATAACGGTATCTTGAAAATAACTTCCAGCACCCAAGCCACCGGCTAAGTTGAATGCATAACCACTAATACGATTAGGGCGTCCTTCTGTGTTATTATAACTGTACATCCTCGCAGCCCAACTTTGCTCGTTTCTGTCTCCTTTTCCCATCCACCAGACATAACCACTTCCTTCCTCATAGTCGAACTGTAGTGTGTCAGGTCGAAACCACGCTTCTATAGTGAGAATACCAGTTCGAACAATTTCCAAATAATCATTGTCGCCTATAGTGAAGTATTGATCGATTCCATTAAACACACTCACAGTATCATTGTTTGGCATTATTGTGGCAGAAGGATTGTTGGTAAATGTTCCGTTTAAATTGTTACCTGAATAATCGTATGGAATACTGGGATCGAGAGGCCAGTATGCAACAGGTGAGTCTGTCAGAACAGTTATGCCATAGCTGGAGAGTGTATTAGCAGTATTAAACAGAAAACAAATAAATAAAAAGTTCAGTAGAGATATTGAAAGGAACCAAGTTCTTGCATGGTATATTATTACCATAGTTTGGTGTTGATGACGCAAATGAGTTACAAAAGAATTCAAAATTTCTATATTTTATTAAAGAGATTTCTTTGTGGAATGGAACCTACAAGATATATTTGAGTTTACTAAATATCCCAAACCCTATTAACCTATAATAAAATCTATGTGAGTTTATCAAAATTAATAAGCTCTAATAAAATCTATTAAATTGATTGCTATTGTTCATTTCAGAGTTATTATAAAAGCTTTGTTTGCAAAGGATTTCAATTGGATATAGAAGAAAAGTTTAACATTTCGAATGACCGAATAGTTCTGCCATTACTTTCTAAACGGTGTATTTCACTATTTGATTTTTCTAACATAAAAAAATTAAAAATTAAATGGTAGCTTTTATCTTTTCCAAATAATATTTTCAAATCAGAAAGGGATGAAAATTAATGTGACTGGGAAGATGATAATGAAGTTTTGAAATGCATATGATTAAACGAAAGTATAATATCGTATATTATAATTCATTTTTCATATTGACTGCAAATAATAGCACTGAATTAAAATTAACATTCAACTTTTTATTGAACTGTCACTTTCTGTGCTTACATAATGGCTTTGCGATGCTCTAAGAAAGAATATATTGTCGAGTTTAAGATGTTCTGAATCTTTACTGTCGATTTATTAATATCATATGAGATGTCCTAGTGACATTCATAGAATTCTTAAAACTTCAGAACTTTTTACGAAGTTCTTTCATGATCAAGTAGTCATGAATTAAAGAATCGCAAGAAGCAAGAAAGAAAATACTATGATCAACCTAAGATATACTGTAGTTATCATTACAGACATTGCAGATTTCTTTAGAAACAACAGAAGAAAAGCTTCCAAAATTTCTATTATTGCAGCATTATAATGGACATCTCTGTAACGTGGATGGTAATACGAATGTTGCCTCTCTAATAGATGCTCCCGCGATAGTTGCTTCTCGAACATTTGTTCTTCAGAGAAACTTGCTCCTTAATGGTACTTAACAGAATTCTTATTGATCACAAGAATAACATATAAATGGGTATGGATGTGAGTATGGTTTTAAAGAAGACCCACATCTGCATCCATACTCGTTTTATACTTCTACTCGTTTCATACTATGATGAAGATTCATTGAGACTGATAATAAGTTTCAAATGGATTCGTGAATTTTGCATTGCTTTTTGAATCTTGCACGGATTTATAACTATTTTAGCTGCTTCTTAGTTTTTAATAACCTGTAGTTCTGCAAAAGTTTTTTTTTTTGACTTTTTAATGGAGCACACATCGTTGTAGCGCAACTGTCTAAAGAGTATGTGTCGTGGGCGTATCTGTCAGCGAAGCATGCGTTTTGGAACCAACATGAATATTTCAGTTCTATTGCAAATTAACTCACTTCTTTTACTCAGTCACTGAAAAATAAATATGAACTATTCATATTATTACTATTCATCAGAAACTCATTTCTTCTATGTTCTGTTTTTTGTTTGCAACATCACATAAGATATCTGTTACAAAATAGCCTCTTGATTGTTAATATATTTGACCGATTGTTCGTATCAAATATAGACAGACGAAAAACTTCAAAAATCCGATAGCATATATTTTTAGAACATTGTAGTTACAAGTAGGCCTATCTATGGGCAAAATATTACCATTCGATTCTTTTGTAGATACTGTATTGTAGACTAAAATTCCAGTAAAACGGCAAAAACTTTGCAGAGAAGGCCTAAGGGTTCTTATCCTTTTGGGATTTTTATTATCTCATTGCAATCTACCTTATGTATAAAATTTGAAGTCAAAAGTGATTCTCAAGTCCGGAAGATTATGCCATAAACCTATAATCGAGAGACGTGCTACATTCTCACTTGAGCACATAAATTTTTCCATCTTCTAGACTACTTTCGAAAAAGTCAAAAATGAACAAACGTTTTGTTCAGAAACTATCGCATAATTCGTTATTTAATTATATTCATAATACTCATTCAATAATCATCAAAAACAATGTCTAAAATCAAGTATCATTCCATTTCATACTTTATTTATTGAAAAAAAAAGTTTTTTTATGTTGATATTGGACGATTTATCATTTCTCGAATCCAACCAATATAAGCTGCTGTCTTAGTAAACACAGTTGGAAATGTTTGTTGTCCACATCCAGTAGCATAACTAATTACGCCAGCAGCATACCAACGTTCATTTTTCAAATAAAGCAAACCACCACCACTATCACCTTGACATGATCTAAATAATAATAAAATAATATCATAAAGAAAATATCAATCAATACAGACCCATGATTTATATCGATAGGACCATTGGGAGCAGTACAAATTTGTGTTTGAGGTTCATAAGCAAAATACATCGAACAATTGGAAATGACTTGAAGTCGAGCTTGACGAAGAACTGAACTAGAACTATTCCACATTTGGAATACAGTATTACCCCAACCAGTAACATAAACAGTTGTACCAAGTGGTGGTTCGACAATCTAAATATATAAAGTTTTGATTTTTATTACTAAAGTTTTCTCTTTTGTTACAAACATTATCCACAAGACAAATTGGTTGAATTGTTTCTGTAAATGTAATCGGTCTTGCTAATTTAATAAGTCCAATATCATTGGTTGAACGATATTCATTATAGTCTGGGTGTAAAATAAGTTGTGCAATAGGCATAAGTTCACCCGATGAATATCGTTCATGAGCACCAATACGAGCAAAATAATTACCAAGATCATTGGAATAATCTAGACAATGTGCTGCTGTTAAAATATGCCATTGATCGATAATTACTCCACCACAATCATGAAGACCTCTATATTGTAATGAAACAGCCCAAGGAAATGAATGTGGTTTAACTTCAATGCCATTAACTATACGAACAGATGTATGTAAATAAGGTTGTTGAAATGTTTGACCGCATTGTTTAATTGAACCCGGATCTGTAAGTGGACAACAGAAACGAACTCTATAATTAGGACAAGGTGATGCACGTGAACCCATACAAAAGAGACCATTATGATTAATTAATGTTTGATAAGATCCTGATCCAGTATTTGTTATTTGCAATACAGAATATTCAACATTCGAAACAGTTTTACATCGATCTACTTCTTTATATAATACTCTAATATGTGCCAAATCTTCAATATCACTTCCATTATGTATCATTGGATCTTGTGTATTAAACCATGAAGTCCATTTTGATGATGCTGGATCACATACATTATTATTAAATATTGAAAACTCTTGTCCTCCAAAAACACTTGAGAATAATAAAAGAATACAACTGATGATTGGAACTAATGTCAACATTTTAGTTATTTTTCAAAAGCAACTTCACACAAAAAAATCGGCTTTAATAGAACATTGTCATAAATGTATTCCAATTTTTTTTCTTTTCTTTTTTTTTCTTGTAAAGTCATATTAAAGTAAGTATGTTGTTCCAGTGCAAACATCAACGAAATTTGATGCCATAAACAATATAATCGCCCTAGTTAGGAGCAATAAAAATAGGTTGAGATTAGGCACATCAGATCAAAAGCTAAAATATTGATTTTTCGATGTCGTTTTCTTCTTTAAAAACTAAGGAACTATGAAACTATTTATCGAGTCCAGCGTCAACTATAAAAACATAAAGAGAATAAATTGAATGAATGCTTGCTTTGAACATATCTTTGTCTGAAGAAGATCGATATTTTCAATACAATAGAATATTTCTAACCATGTTGCACGTTTGTTCACACCACTGTCGGTATACCACAGTACATACATAGAAACTAGCAGTGGTACGCACGGCTTTCGGCTCCAGTAATAAACGATTACAGAGAATGTCTTCTATTTGAATTCATATCATTTATTAGCAAGAACTCCAATTAACCGAGAAGGAAACAGTTTCAGAATATATTTACTAATAAAAATTTTTCTAGTGTCATCTATAACAAAACGTTTATCTCATAACTGGGATCGATTGGGATCTATGGCTAGCACAAGACAGCATGATACAACATTTTCAAAAGAAAAACCGCTAGTGTAGCGCGTATTATACTGCGATCGGTATATCGACAGTAGTTATCACATGATTATATAAATCATTGACAAACGTTTTTAAAATAGAACTTTTTTTGACTTTATTTTAATAGACCTTCATTAAAAAAATTTTTTTTTAAAAAAAGCATATTTTTTTTTATTTATGTATCATTGATTGTTTTCAAAATCAGTATTATAATAACAAAATAGAATATCATTTTTTTCTGTGCTTTCAACGGTGTGAATCATACTATTAGCCAAAAATATTTAGTTAATTTGTCGATACCTATAGCTGTACATAGGCGGTGCACGAGCGAAGCAATAGGGTACAATTATTTCTCCCTGGTATCTCTCTGTACTGATGATTAATATGAAAAGACTGATACATAGTATTAGAAATTTGTTTTATGTCATCTGTGTGGCTATACTCTTGTCACGTATATCTAATATTTGTCTTTATTATAGAAACTGAAGGCCAATGTATTAATATTATATGATTATAGAAACAGCAAACATTACTCTTCTTTTCTTTTGCGTTTATCCACGATAGAAAGACAATAGCTATCAACCTTCTCTGTTGTATTTTCTTTTTTGATCTTTTACACAGGTAGCTGTAAGTTTCACAGTGATTTTTGGCTAGTGAATGGAATATGTCCAAGTTTGTAGACGAAGACTTTCTCTATCCAATGGTGTATAAATTGTGAAATGTTGTTGCGTACCATGAGAGGATCAATTTCAGGCTGGTTCTATACGATTATGACTTTAATATAGCTTATATCAAAAGCAAAATTGTGCAGAACCAGGACAAAACCCACTCTCACGATACGCAGGAAAATTTAATAATATTTATACCATTGAATAGAGGATATCTTCTTCTACAAATCTACATATATTCCACTCTATAGTCAAAACTTTATAGTTGTCTTTTGTGATTAGCTTGGTAAATGTCTGAAAAATAAGTAAAGTTTCTTATTATTTCACAAAAAAATCTAGCAATTCTATTACAAGAAAAATGTAATAGATGTAACAGTACAGCTATTGTGAATACAAATGAAACAATTCTATTAAGTGAAACTGCTGATGCAACATCAGTGCACCATCTTGAAGGTGTCAATGTAAGTGTTAATCTTCTTTGCACTCACCCATACTTATACCCTAGCAGGTTAGAGGTGACTATCTAGAATTTATATTGAATGTAATTTTTGAAATTGATTCACATACTATTGTAGGTGAATTTGTATCAGAAAAAAAAACATTTTTGAAAATAAATAAATTGATTAATGTAAAACTCGAACTGAAATATTTCTTATAATTACTCATCTAAAAAGAAATTTATTGTTTCTTCTAGAGAGTTTATTTTGCATCACCAGTGTATCTGTGTCTATTACTTTCATTAGTCATAGGAATGATTAACAAATGATGAATGACTAACAAGCTCCATTGATTTTGGTAAACGATTGAAAACAAAAATGTGTTAGATATGATTGTTATATAAAATGATTTCAATAGTTTCAGTTAAACGTGACATATGAAAAAATCACCTTATATAAAAGACTGCAGTAAATGATGATCATTGTAAAATATACATGAGTTAGAAAGTCAAGCGAAACAATATCATGAATATTAATCATAATTATATTTTACAATATATTTTCCTAGTCTTTATACAACATATAAAATTATAATAAGAAATCAACAAAAACAAATTTAAGATTTTTTTTACAAACAATGTGCAAAAAATAGAAATTCAAAAAAAAATACGACAATTTCGCTTAAAACTATCCAATTATTTTCCGATATTTGTTTTTTAACAAAGTTCTTTTGAGTATTTGACAACTACAAAATTTGCGTAAGTACATAAAAAAATATGATACAAAAAAACTTAAATTTGTGAAATATATTTTCAAGTTTAATTTGTTTTGTATTAAAAAAATATAATATTTAAACTCAATATTTTCTTGTTTGATTTTTGAGAAAATGAGTTTTAGTTTTTTTTTTTACTTCGATATGAATTTCACGATTCAACATGCTGTCACAAAAGAAACGCTATAAAAATTACTATATCATGTAATATTTTTTCAATAAAAAAAATCAAAAAAGCATAAAATACTGTGTCCCTTCGTCGTTTGATAAAACGAATATGATTCATTATTTAATTGCATATAACCTTGCGCATTGCTGGTTTATATCAATTTATAATCTGTTTGTTTCTTTTTCTTTCTAATCTCACTTATGTATGTTAGTTGAGTCAAGATTTTGTTTTTCTTCTGTTATTTTTTCTATGACGTCACCATAAGTGGCATTGAAATACTTTGTTTCCCTATTAAACCATGAATCACGTTTTTTTTTTATAGATTCTTTCTTTCATTTAATAAGTTGTTTTAGTCACACTATATAAATAATATGGAAACAAATATGTAACGAGAACAACTTTTTCGTTGTTAAAGATCGACGTAACATCTTCGACGTGTGATATGACTCATCAATTACACTTCTAAAACTAATGCAAGAAGAAAATCGAGAAAAGAACAGAACGAACAAAAGGAAATATATGAGTGTAGTTTGTTTGTCGTCTGCTGACTCATTAAGCTAGTACAGCATACAACGAGTGAGTGACATTAAATAATGAAATAGCGCGATATTCGTTTTATGTATGTAAAAGTTCGATTTCAGAATTTTTCATCAATGATTTAATTCTAACGGGCAAAGGTCAACTATATCCATAGAATCGAACGATCAATTATTTCTTTTTTTTTCTGTTTCTATATTTTAGATCACTCTTCTTTTTTTTTTCTTTCCTATTCATTCATGGCAGCATGCGCAGTTGAAGAGACATCAGCAGCAACATCAATCTATTGTCAGACAACAAATACAATGGAACGAACATCATCGTCGTCATCGTCATTAGAAACAAGTACTAGAACAACGACAAATCCTGAACATCATCGATGTTCGTTTAATTTTCATACAAATAATATTCAAACTGATTCGATATTAACAATAAATCAAGAATCGACAAGAAAAAGACAATTGAGTCAAACTGATTCATATAATAAAATTTATGATGCGACAAGAACAGTAACAGATAATAGTTGTCCATCACAAACTGATTCAATAAACAAAAAGGATGAAAGTAAGAGCAGAATATGTTTTTTTTTTTCTTGTTTGAAAATGATTCCATATACTTCTATATTTCTCATTTTTGCAAAAGATTTGATTATTATCATATCTTTTTTTTTTTTTGAAGGTCCAATAACACCAACTCGACCAAAATCTTTATTTTTAACAAATACTACAGCTGGTCGCTCACTTTCACTATTACGCACATGTCTTAGTAACCCATCAACATCACCTAGTACTTTACTTCCGACTGAGGACAGTTCACTTTCACCATTAAAATTTACATCATTACCAGAACTTTCTTCTCCACCAACTAAACGTCTTCGTCCACAAACATTAGATTTTACATCAAAATGTTCTTCTATTAATACAAGTCCAAAAATATCTGTTCTACCACCACCACCACCATCATCATCATCATCATCATCATCATTACCAATCGATTTTATTAGTCCAACTGAATTAGCTGATAAATTAAAAGAAAAAATTCCATTAACAATTTTCGATTGTGGTTCACCATTACGTCATAGTGAACATCGTATACGTAATTCAATTCTTCTTCGGGTTGCTGATAAAATTTCTCGTAAACGTTTGAAAACAAATCCAAAACAACATTCAACAATTGATATAAAACAATTAAATGACAGTCAATTTATTATTTTATATGATGATACGACAAATATTCGTCGTCATTGTACAAATTCATCAATTGATAATAATGATAATCAATTATCATTAGCATGTAAATGTGCATGTGAAGAAATTCAACGTTGTCTTACAAACAATTTTCCTTCAATACTTATTCTTAATAGTCCATTTAATCAGTTTTTTGATTTATATCCTCAACTTTGTGAATCATTACAACCTCGTTCATGTCCATCATCACCAACAGATCACACTGATGAATCATCAACACCACAAACAGCTCCACCAACACAAAATTCATTCTTACTAACAACAACAACAACAACACCAAATCAAAATGACATTGATAATCATCCAATGACACATATCATCGATGGTTTATATATTGGTAGTGAATCAAATGCAAAAAATCTCGAAGAATTATCTTCGGAACAAATTCAATGTATAGTTAATGTAACATCACATGTACCTTTATATCATTCTGAACAATTTCAATATTGTCATTTACCTGCTGATGATACACAAAAACAAAATTTATTAGAATATTTTGATCAAGCTTATTCATTTATTCATAATGCTATAGAAAATAATGAAAAAGTTCTTGTTCATTGTGTTGCTGGTATTAGTCGTTCACCAGCAATTGTTATCGGATTTTTAATGCGTTATGCTAAAATGAATATGAATGATGCATATGATTTTGTAAAAAGAAAACGTTCAATTGTTTCCCCTAATCTCAATTTTATGGGACAATTACTTGAATATGAAAAAAAATTAAAACAAGAAAAGTAATTTTCTTCTTTGTGTATAATGAACCTTGTGAATATATTTATTGTTAAAATTTTGTTTCTTTTTTTCTACTTGTTATAAATTTAGTTCAGCTACAAAAATTCTGATATGAATTATTATGATTTATATTAAGAAATTAACGTTTTCATAGGTGCTGAATAAGAAGAAATCTGATGTAACAACTTTCTACGTAATTTCAATTACTCATCGTATGATGAATTATGTAATATAATAAAAGATTCTGATGATTCGTCATTATGATAAAACAAATGGCTCAGTTTACATTCATCATTTCATATATCGATTACATCATATAGTGTAATGTGTTGAAGAGGAAATATATCTAAGAGACAGATGGATGGTATCAACAAATGAAGTAGTTAATTGAGATCGATAAGTGAACAGGAAAAAGAACTATGCATGATTTGTTGAATGATGAAAGAGAATATAGAAGAGAATGAATTGAATATAAATAATTGAGATATCCTGAAGACTGATAATAAATGAAAAAGCTTCAACAGTCTATGAATCATATTTCTAAGTAGATGGAATTACTAAAAACATTTTTTTTTTGTAATAGAATAAAATGTTTAATGAAAAGAATTTTCATATTAAATTTCTTTTTTTGTTTTAATAGGTTTTAAATATTAACATATAAATGATTAGATTGTCATTTGAACTGATTTAATTAAATATGATATTCTTTTGAAAAATCTACAAATAATTCATTTCTAATAAGTAGACAATTAGTAAACTAAATTTTGTTTTATATAAACGTTCATTAAAGTCAATAACTTTTTCTATTTTACATAAAAAAATCTTATTGAAAAGTTAATATTCATTAACATTGATTCACAACACAACAATTTAATTGCTTTTTATTCAATAGCCAAGGAAATATTACCGGAAACATCTATACTTATTACCAAATATTTAACATAAATTGCATTGAATATAATAAAAGCATTTCATATACATGACATTATGTTGTTGAATATTTTTATTAATCTTACTAAAGGCAATTCTTCAATGCATTCATACAATATATTATTTATTCGATAATTTCTTCATCAATGATCATAGAAATATATTAAAATATTCAGTATTTTCATAGTTAGCCTATGACAATTAAGAGAACACGAATGTTTTTCACTAGTAATTAAATGAAAATCGAAATAAATATTCATAATCTTACACTCAAAATCGAAGAGAATAAAACGTTTGTTGTTAATATTATTTGCATAAGTTTGACTATATTATTCAAGGTGTTATTTTTTCATATTCATCACATCAATGTCGGTGTTAAGGGAAACCTCCTCCCCTCCCCGTCAGAAACATATTTTTGCTTCAGAACAATGGATTTTGCCGAAATTTTCATGAAATATATGCCTCATAGTAAATAGTTCACAGTCAAAATTTGAGCACAAAATATTGAATAGTTCAAGATTTATGCTAATCTTAAGAGTTGAAAAGTAGATGTCCGTGTGTCAAAAGTTTTTCTTCCAAATCTAGTGTTACAGATTTTAAGTTAGTATCAAAATGTAGATAAAATCCGCCACTACAACGTGTCTGAATCAGATTTTTGAAATTTTGTTTCTATAATTTCCAAGAAATACAAAAATTCGACTCTGCTAAGTTTGAGCATGTAGCTATCGCTTCATTTGAAAGCTTAACTGAGCTTTATACTATGTAACACAACCGACAAAATAAATCTATAATAAAAATTCAAAAAGACATCGATAAATGACGTCTTCAAACAAGTTGTTTTTTCTAACTTCAACAACTTCAGTAAAATCTCTATAAAATCATGAAAACCCATAATAAATTCTATAAGTCCCATTGTTTTCGAAGGCAAACATTACGGACTATCTAACTGTGCAAAAATCTCAAAACCAAATTTTTCGGCGCAAATCACGTTTTCTGACAGGAGAGTGGGTCTTAAAGCTAAAATATTATTATAAAAATAAAATTACATATGATTTGAAAGTATTTTCTTAAGTCGATCATTCTTTTCCATATGAATTAGAGAATACAAAATGTTCATTTGAATAATTAATTAAAAGATTTCCACCAGTCCTATTCAATGCAAAAATCTATAAAAATTCTCATTATGTAAAATTTGAATCACAAGTCGCACTCCCACAATTTTCCATTACGAAAAAATAAAATTTTTTTATTTTTATCAATTAATATTTTTATTTTACTTATAATATCATCTTTCAGTCAATCTTCATCAAGCTCAGATTAAATAACAGAACAAAAAATTCTACAGACAATGAGCTAAGTCCAACATCAGTTCCTTTTCTTTTGCTTTTTCTCCATTGGAACAGGCAAAAAAAAACATGACACCTATGTCTATGGATAATCTACACATGCAATACATTTATCTACTTTCATTTTTCAAAACCAATACTTGACCAGCATGTGTTATATTAACAGCAACAGATTCTGGTAAATAAAATGGTTCACCATCCATTTGTGCTGTCATTGGACAACATATTTCAATACGTAAATTACTACATTGTGCTATACGTATACCACGAAATCCCATATGTATTGTAGCCATATGTGTTGTACTTAAACCAACAACTTCAATTTTTTTATCATCAATATCTTGTCGATCAAAACGTCCAATTGGATGTGATATTGTTGTTATTGTTGGTAAATTAATTTGATCATTTGGACAATCATTTAATGTAACAAGTTCATAAACTTCATGTGTATTAGCTGGTAAATCAATAATTTCAACTGAACTTGTTGAAATTTCTTGAAATGAATCATAATCTTTTTGTATAATAATTGTTTGTGATGTTGATGAATTATTTGATGTTTTACCCCATGGATTTGTACCTGATGCATAACCAGGAATATTTAATACAAGTAATGTATGACAATTTCGTATTGATTCTGTTAAATCTTCTCCATCACATATTAAACGTATATATGAACTTAAATTCCACATTTTTGAACGTGCAAAATCATTTAAATATTTTCGACTTTCATTTAAATACATTAATTTATTTTTTAATGGTGATGAAAATTTATTTGGATCACGTTTACGTCTATCATGAAATTCTAATGCTATAGCTGCATCTAAACCAAAACTCATATAATTAATAAAACGTGTATTTGGTAATGTACGATTATTTTGATATGATGCACGATTTCTATCACGAACAAATTTTGGATGATTTATAAAAGATAAAAATGTTCGATTTGTTGGTAAATCATCTTGTTTTGGTATATTAACTTGTTCAAGTGTTACTTGCCAACGATCAAGTGCTATTGATTGTGCATGTGGAATTTGTGTTAATATTGATAATAAACGTTTAGGATCATATTGTTCACCCCATAATAATACACGTGATAAATCATTACCAGTACCTAATGGACATATACTTACAGGTGGATTATTTAATGGTGGATATAATTCAGCTAAACAACCAAGAATCCAACCAACTGTACCATCACCACCAAAAACACATATACGAATATTTGATAATGATGAATACATTTCTAATGCATGAAGTATAGTTGCATCACTTTCAAGTAAAAATACTTGACGTGGATTAAGAAGATGTAATAATTTATGATAGATTTTTTCACCACTTTGACCACCAGAACGTTTATTTATAAAAAGAAGTAATGGTGTATAATTATCAATAGATGTTGAAGAATCATTTGATGTATGAAAACGATATTGAGCACGAAAATGTGATGGAGTACCTGGTATACGACGCAACCATTGTGGTCGAACAATTATATTTCTTAAACAAACAATAAATAGAATATTTTAAATGTTTATAGTCTATCACAAAACTAATACAACAACAGCAAAAAACAAAGTTAGAACTCGTCCTATCTTTTCATCAATAGCATTAGCTTGGTTAGTAATTGATGTTCTAGGTTTTTCTTAAGATTCTACTTAATAAGATTTGTTTTTTGCTTTAGGTTATATGACTATTACATAATAGAATCTACCTCAATATTCCATAGTCGCATTTATTATTTTCATCATGTTTAAACATTTGATCCCAGCACCGTCGATGATAAGTACGTGAACACCACAAACATTGTAATCCACTCGATGTTCCAGGTACTTTTGGACTTGAACTATCAGGCAAAGCACTTTTGCATGTTGGACTTTTTATCGTTCCATCTAATGATGGCATTGTTGAAGGTCGACCGCTACCAAATAATGAACTTGACATTGACTTTCTTTTACATAAAGCACAAGGTTTTGTAAGTATCGATACATACAACCAATAATGTCGATCAAATTTATTTTGATAATTTGTATCATTAGCACTAATACTTTCCGAAAACGTTGGTCGACATGGTGGAATAATATTTGTTGTTATTATTTGTGAGTCAATAAGATGATATGTATGTACAATAAATAAACATGATTCACATTGAACAAATTCTGATAAATTATTTGATTTTAGATCTTTACAAGAAAAAAGTGCACATGGTTGAGATGATGAAAGATCATTTAGTTTATATGGAAACCAACAATGAGATGTAGGACATGCACGATCACTCCAATCAATACCATATGTTATAGGAATATTTGTTTCTGATAATGAAGAAGAATTATATGATTGTAAAACACTAAAAATGACAATCAAAATGAAATATTTTGTATGCCTTTTTTTTTTATTTTGTTTTTCATGATTTAATTTTTTCTTGAAATAAATCTAACAAAAACAGACATGACATTTTACCTTGTTGAATTTAATACTGGTTCATCTGTTATTGTTTGTTGAAGATGATCTTGTTCAGGCATAACAGTCATATAATCTGATGAGGAATTAAAAAAAAATGATTGTTCATTGTCATTATTGATTTTAGATTTTAATGATAATAGTTGATTATATTTATGTTCATATGTTGGAGAATATTCTTCAGTTGGTGTTGTTGGTAATGATATAGATTCTGTTCGATCTAATTTTTTATGTTTTGTTTTCAATATATTTTGATCAGAATTAATATCTAATTGACGAAAAGTACGTTCTAATAAACGATGATGAGTATGATTAATATCTTGATTTAGATTTACTAATGTATCACAATCACGCGGTTCACTTATAAAATCAAAACTTGAATGATATGTTGCTATTGCTGATGGTGATGGTAATGTTGTACTAATACTTGATGTATATTCAAGTTTATGTGGAGTTCGAGATATTGATGGGGCTGTAGGTTCTGCCATTCTTTCTTTAGAACTAATAAAAATAATAAGTTTAGAATACGAACATTTATGAAAGAATCAAAAAACGAAGAAATATATATACTAGAGAGAAAAAAAGAAACCGATGATGTTACTAGAAAGTAATAGTCTACTCGTCAACAATGTGAACATCTTTATCCTATGTGACAGCTATTTCTTTTTTTTTCTCTCTCGGTTTTTTTCTCTATTACAGCATGATGTCTACCCACGTCCATGTCGACGATCGATGAGGATAATAATAATAATAATGATGATGATGATATGAGAGACTGCCACATCTGTTTTTGTCAAGAAAAAGACAACAATGAAATTGTTCTTATTGTCTCAATCTTATTTCTATTCTAACTGTGCATGTCATATGTATATTAGACATAGCAAACAAAAATAAAATGAGAACAATATGCAATGAATTTTCTAGCTATTAGCTTTTTTCCCTTTTTCATATAACATATGCATTTATTCATTCAATTAGATTCTATTTTGATGAATGTATAGACATAATGAGATATTGTTTTTTTTTTATTGTTAATCACTCTAAATGATTTTTTAAAAAATATTATTTAATCTTATAAAATCATCTTACCTGTATAAGAATTTTTTTTTTTAATTTAATCGTATAGACATTAAAATTGTAGCTGATTATAACAATATATTTATATAAATGAGAACCAACGTAAAATAGAAATTTGTTTCTATTTTTTATTTTATTTTTTTGACAGACAGAGCTAAACACACATGCATTACGGGAAAAAGAAAAAAAAGTATGTTATCAGACGGAACCGGCGAATTTTTTTTTTCTTTTTTTTTTTCTTCTCTCCTTCCCATTTTTTCTCCTTTAACGTTGTCGAGTACGACTTAGTATACGCGCTTGTGTGAGCGACTATGTGTATGTCTATATACGCTAGAAAATAAGAAAGATGGAAGGTGTATATACATGAGCGTATGAAAGGTCGAAATGGGAGAAAATTTCACATAAAAACTCGTATTGTTTGTTTTTTTTCTTCTACATAAACGTACGAGTATCTTTCTTTACCAGTGACTTCTATCGTGTAAAACAAACCATAAAAAAAATTTGTCACCTATCCTAAACACCTACGCAAAACTAACATCCTTATACTTAGAATATGATTAGATATTCGTCATTATTTACATATGACACGTAAACAAAGTAAAAATCTACATAATCATACACGCAACTATGCATTCGAAATAATCTTTTTTTTTATCTCGTGTTGAAAAATTGTCGACGATGGATATGTTAACAGATAAGAAAATTCAATCATGCTAAAAGAAAATCAAGTTAATAAATTGTATACTAAAAAATAACAATAAATTAGATTTATTTTATATTAGAAGAAAAACGAAATAATACATAACATCTAAGTATATAGATAGTTCGATTTGATGATTATTATATTATTCGCGTCGTTTTTTTTTTTTTGTTCAAATATATAATAAACGTCTTCAATAATGCAATAGTTTTTCGTTAAGTATGATCCATTCAACTGCATCAAGTATTCTTGAAGTTTTCCATTTTCTTTTCGATATGCATCATAAACTTGTTTAATGTTAATCCTATCAATGAACATATTTCATCCTTTAACTGTAATCAATATATCTATATAAAGTCAATTTCAAGGTTGAAGGTCTACTAACAAAATTTAGACGATTTTTCAATGAAAAAAAAAGTGATTGAATGAATCAAAAATTTTATAGTGTGTGTATGATATGAGTAATTGAAAAATACTTTTAAGATAGGTTTTGTATGTCGAATGATAATTTCTATATTTCGAAAAATTTTCTTTTTTTTTCTTTTAATCGATGTTTTGCTTTATTGTACATTTTTTGGAGTTCAGATGTTTTATGCCAATTTTTATTTAATCGAATTGAAATTTTCGACTCATGTCACATGTATCAATTCCAAAATTGAACTGAGAACTGTATTTTTTCATCTAGAAATTAAATCAAAGACTATCATTTTCTTGTATTTTTGATTGTGATTTCAATACAAATAAATATTAAAATACTATATAAAAGTATCAATTATCTTTTGTATGTAAAAATCTTTCTTCATTTTTTCATTTGTTTTATACATCTGTACACAAGATCAAAGATTTTGTTTTTTCAAATAAAGATATGTTGTAATATCATGAAGATATATTATTTGTAGATTAATGCTATAGACAAATTACCTGAAAAAAGCTTTTCTTATACTATAATTTTTGCGTTGTTCAATAGAAAAGCTTTAGCTTTTCTATTAAGCTTTGATCATGAAGAAGATGATGATGAGAAAATTTTGTGTCCTGTCATATTGTGTTTAAAACTAATTAGTTATCCAAAATATGAAAAGAAAAAAAGGAAATAGGAATAGAAAACCTATTTAGAGTCGCAGATTACTCACGTTTGATAAGATCATAATGAAAAAAGAATAGATGAAGTTTTTATTCAAGGAATCCTTTCATTAGTTTCCACAACATATTTATCAAAACAAAAGAAGCTAGATAAGAATGTAAAGCACTCAACTTATTAGTTAAATGTGGAAGACATGACTTACAAAGTAGAATTAGGTTTTTAATTAAACTAAAACATGTTTTCAGTCAACAAAATTAATCGTTATTCATGCTTAACAGAACTTGAAGAAAAATTTAATTTAATTGTATATGAAACTAACTATTGGACAAACATGAATCTCATTTTTTGTTTTGAGAGATAGCAAAAGCTTGTCAAATAAAACAAAATTTATTCATGAAATCATTCCGTTCTATGTTGTAGATTTTAGAAGAAAGATCTTTTAGTTAATAAAAGATTAGAAAGGAATTTTAACATTACAACAGATGTCATTTTTACATTTGTCATTATTTTAATCAATTTACTATTCATTTTAATATTATTATCATATATTATATTTCATTATCTTTATAATATTCGATGACAATATTCATTTAATTCCATCAAGGTCAATCATTATTGATTCATTGGTCGATCGAACTAACCAATTATATAAAAACATGATAGCTGGTATATATTCATATTTATCTATTCATTTATCCTTTTATGTTGTTTCAAAAATAAAATAATCTATTAAATCAATTATCATATTCTTTTCTTTTTTTAGTTCATAATTTTTATCGAAATTCAAAAGAAAATATGCCTCGAACAATATCAATGAAAGCAGAATATTTAATATTACTTAGTTTTTTAATGACATTTACTGTTGTAGCAAATGCTTTTTATACTAAAAAACAATTTTATCCATCTGTTGTTTATTTAACAAAATCAAGTACAAGTCTTGCTGTAAATAATATTGAAATAAAAAAAAAAAAGAAATACTCGATTTGAATTTATTCAATTGATTTTTCTTTTTAGGTTCTTTATGTTCAAGCATTTGTATTTACTATTTTATTAGGTAAACTTATACAAAAAATATTTCTTGGACAACTTCGAGCAATTGAAACTGAAGTTTGTTAAATAATAAAATTAAAAAAAGAAGAAATTTAAAATTTTTATAATGTTTTATTTCTAGCATCTTTATGATCGTACATGGTTTTCAGTTACTGAAACATGTTTAGCATTTACAGTTTTTCGTGATGATTTTAGTTCACGTTTTGTTGCTTTATTTGCAATTTTACTTTTTCTTAAATGTTTTCATTGGTTATTAGAAGATCGAGTTGATTATGTAAGTAAATAAATATAATTTTTATTAAATAAATATTTTAATTTTTAGATGGAACAAAGTCCTGTTCTTGGTCCAATATTTCATGCACGAGTTATTAGTAAGATATTCTTGACTTTATTAATATATAGAATGTTCAAAAAGTTCGCCGAAAAAGTAAATTCGTAAGACTTCATGATCTATCAATTTTAATCAATGATTTTCTTTTCAAATGATAGGTATCACTTTGAAGAGTTTTTATTTATACGAACAAACTGTGCACATCGATGATTCAAAGTTTATCATTTTTGACTGAAATACAAAAATCAGTCTTTTTCTATGGCGCTTATATCGATCAGATCTTGTGCTATTGTTTATATGCAATTGTTTTGATATATCACTGCAAAAAGAAGTCTAATGATGTCAAGTCAGATGATCGCGAAACTCGTAAGATCAGTTTATCGATCGTCGTTCGAAAAGTTACAACGATCTTATGGGTTTCACAATCATCGAACTTGACATTATTAGGCTTCTTTTTGTAGTGACATATCAAAATAACTGCATATAAACAATAGCGCAAAATCTGACTGATATAAGTACCACAGATAAAGACTGATTTTTGTATTTCAGTTGAAAGTGATAACTTTAAATTATAGATGTGCATAGTTAGTCCATGTAAATAAAAACTTCATCGTGATATCTATTAATTGAAAAGAAAATAATCGATTAAGTTAGATAAATAATGGAATTATACGAATTGATTTTTTCAACGAACTTTTGGAACACTCTGTAGTATCAAGTTGTTTTTTAAAATAGTAATATTAATTAAGATTATATTTTACAGTTATTCGAAAAATATAAAACATAGATCTTATGAAATGAAAATTCTTGATTATACAATGAAGACCTATTATTTGCAAAAGATAGAGTTAAACTTATTACTTCGAGAGTATAAGACTATAATGAATATCATTGTGACTTTTATTTTGATTAAATTCTAATATATCAACTTTTTATATTAAAACTTATACTTTCATAATAAGAACTATAGAAATGCACACAAGATTATCCTTCTCATCCTATCCTGTTCTATATATCTCTAAATAATAACAACAGCTAATTAGACGTTTCGTATAACTAACCAATAACTTGTTTCTTTTTTTGTTCATTACATAGGTCTTTCAAGTGTTTTAATTATTCTTGATTATTTATTCATTATATCGGCTTGTACACATACAATAGCACGAGGAGCATCTGTGCAAATTGTATTCGGTTTTGAAGTAAAGAAAAATTTTTTTGTTAATTATAGAGATGTATTTTTCTTTCTTACTTTAGTATGCTATTCTTCTTGTCTCTCTTGTTTTAACAGCAATTAAATATATACTACACACAATAGAAATTCGTACCGGTGAACAATGGGAAAATAAAGGTGTATTTATGCTTTATTCGGATCTTCTATTTGGTTTTATTCGTGTTCTACTCTATGTGTTATTTATGATTGTTATGATGAAAATTCATACAATTCCATTATTTTCTATTCGACCAATGTTTCTTGCAATGAGGTACTTATATATATATATTTTTTTTTCATTTTTGTATTTTGTGTTTTTCATTTAAGAGCATTCCGTAAATCCTGCAGTGATGTTATTGAATCACGACGCGCTATTCATGATTTAAATACAATGTATCCTGATTTAACAGCCGATGAACTTGCTAATGTTAGTGATACAACATGTATTATATGTCGTGAAGAAATGCAAGTACAACAAAGTATTAAACGTCTTAGTTGTCAACATATATTTCATAAAAATTGTTTACGTTCATGGTTTCAACGACAACAAGCTTGTAAGTTAATATTAGAAAAAAATTCTGGTTGTTTTTTTGTTTTGATTAATAATTCAAATATTAGGTCCTATTTGTCGAAAACCAGTCTTACGATCTAGAACAACACCAGCTCCTAATATACCTGGCGCAGCAGCAGCACAACAACCAGTTCAAGTACCGAATGCTGGAGGTATAATTAAATCAAAGCAAAACAATCTATAATTAATAATTTTATTTTTATATCTAGTTCAAACACCTCCCGTTGGTGCCGCTCCACCCTCTACAGCTCCACCACCTCCAACTACTTCATCATCAACTATATCACCACCACCAATACCACCACCTGTCTTTAACTTCACACCATTAAATTCAACAACTACTCAAACATCATTACCATCGATAACTATTCCACAAATACCATTTGGTTCATTTCCCATGGTGTTACCACCGTTTGGTACGTTTCTTTAATAATAATAATAAAAAGATAACGATTAAAAATATATGTTATATCTATTAATTAAGCTTTTCCTCCACCACCATTACCTCCTCTTAATTTTACTGGAATGTCCGACGAAGCAATTCGTGTTATGGAAGGAACTGAATTAGCACATGTTCAAGCACGTATACAATGTTTGCGTAATGTAAGAACTTTATTAGATGCATCAATGATGCAAATGCAACAATATATGAATATTGTATCAACACAAAGGTTTGTTTATTGTTTTTCTTTTTTTTTCTATCAATTTTATTTATATTTTTTATTTATTAGTAATATGGATAATGGTACACATTTATTAAAAAATCTTAATAATGATGTTAATCAAGTAATATCATCATCATCATCATCACAAAATCAATTAATTGATGAAAATGATACAGATCTTATTCGTCGTCGTCGTTTAGAACATTTAGCAAATAATATAACATCTTCATCATCAACAGAAGTACAAGACGATAAAAGCAATAATGATGCTTAAGCGGTTTTTGTTTTTTCTTTCCATTTAATCAGTTATCATTGCTCTTTTCTTTTTTTTCTTGCTGCATAAACATACATTCGAAACAGTGCTCTGTCTTTTTTTCTTTTCTTTTTTTTATCATTTGGAGTACTCTTTGATTGTATATATATATATATATATATGCATATAAATGCAGGCGAGATTGTTCTTAAATTATTTTGTTTTTTTTTTTCGCATGCCTTACTTGTTTTCTTATTACTCCTAGTCAAACAAATTGACATTTTTTTTCTCTTTATGTTCTTCAGTTCGATTTTCATAACTTATCTGTTATATATTTCAAAAACAAAAAAAAATTTTATCTCATTTTGAAGAAAATATAAATGAAGTTGTTTTCGGTTATGACAAAATATTAATTTACAAAAAAGAAAAGATAATACTGAAATTTGGATATTTTTATTATGATAGATTGTGTTAGACAAAAAGAACATTATTAGAAAGAAATAATTCAGATATCAAATTAAATTGACAATTAACTAGGATTTAGATGCAATGGAAGCAAAAAACAGTTTAGAAATGCAGTATTTTTGACTTTTTTTCATTATCGATAATAGTTAGAACTACTCCGAGAAAAGATTTAAGTAGCTAAGACAATGTCCTATCAGCAGAGATACTTGTCATATTTCAATTAACAGATTTGAGTGAAAGATCTCTAGAAAAATCAAGGTTCCTAAGGCTAGCTTTCTGGATTGTCTTAAAAACGTATTACAAACAAGTTCGCCTGCTAGAGAAAATATTTCTATGTTCCAGAGTTATCTTCAGCAAACTGCACTCATTCTACGAAATATCCCCAAAGTATAAACCAGTAAATTCATGAAAACAGTCTTTTAGACCTATCGTACAATAATTGTCGTTCCCTGAAGATAAGTCCTAGAGACCTTGGGAAATTTGTTTCTAACTATTACTGTTTAAGAGAAAAAAAGTCAAAAATATTCACCTTAATTCTCTTTTGAGTACGTTATGACCAATAAATTGTTGTTTACAAAAAAAAAATAAGAAAGAAAAACTCTTTCGAAATTATTCCGAGGAATGCTGTAAATGCTTGAATAGGTTTTTTTTTCATCTTTTCGTGACACAATACTATTTCAAGTATTTGTTATGTCAAGCACAAGCTACAAATTTGATATATTATTCATTTAAAATAACTGATCTTTTTGGATGAAAACAAACTAAGAAGATAAATAGACAATCAGATAACATTGATATTCTTTGAAATATTTTACAGATGAAAAGAATCTAACATGAAAAATTGAACAAATAATTTGTATTTTTTTAGTATTGAATTGAGAAAATTTACACTTATGATTAAATGCATGATTTTCTTTGAAACAAATTGCATCTGTTATTCATAGCATAATTTCAATAAGATGGAAATAATTAGTCATTAAAAATAAAGTATTCAATTGTTCTTTTAGTTTATTTTTCTAAGAATTGGTGAAAAGAACACACTCTACTGTTTGACATACTGTAGGAAGTGAAGAAAAATAAAATACAATACGTTTTTATTCTTTAAATCATAATACGATTAAATTTTTAAATAAATATTGAGCTAAAACCTATCACAAACATAATCATGAATAGTGTGAAGAATAATATCTTGCAGCTGTAAAAGAAAATTTTTCTCTTCTTTGGTTTACTACTTATATTAATACAATAGAAGATGATTGACAAGCACAGAAAAAAAAAGCTGCTGTCTAAATCATCGATCAGTTCAAAACATCTGATGATCAATATCCACATACTCAAGACCTCTTCCAAGGTAATCTTTTGAATTCAGTTCATTTATAAATGCATGTTTTTTTCTTTTTGCAATAGAATATTTCAATAAAGAAAAAACCGCAATGTCGTATATTGATCAATACAAATGTTGACAGTTACTAAGTACATTCGAATCATATAGGCACAGGTGTAATATCATGTCCTATCATTAAATTTGTCAAGAAACTGAATTATGACATCTTTCTGAAGACTTCAATATCAAAATAATAAATAAAAATAATCTTATCTCTAGAAAGAAAATTTATTTTAAATACACATACATTTATATGCAATTTTGAACAAAAAAAGAAAAAACATACATATTTTAGAAAGTAAATATTTTGTTTTGTCTTCCAGCTTTTCCTTTCACTCTCGGTTGCCAATTAATCAATTGTGAATTAACAATAAGAAATTTTTTTGCATGTAATTCTTGAAGACGAGCTTCAATACATTTTCTTGATGCACATACAAATTGACCTTGTCTCCAATATTTAATGAAACCATACGAACTCAATGTTTCCATACAATTCTCTGTACTAATACTTGTTATGGCACTAAAATAAAATTTTCAAGAAATAGAAATTTTCTTTTTAGATATTTTACCTTAATTCATCTACTTCAATTTCTGGCTTTTCTTTAAGTACATTTAATAGTGCCCATGTCCAATAACTTAAATAGGCTTTATGTCCTAAATCACTGACAGGTTTTTCTGGTCCACCAACTGCATTTTCTAATTTCGATAATTCATAACCTATAAAAATTCAATTTTTAATGAATTACATCAATAATAAATAAAACATACAGAACATTATGGAAGTATTAAATTCGAACTTTTTCGACATTAGAAATTTTTAGATATATAAAAAGCACAATACAATTAGTTTTATATTATACGATGTGAAAGTCTTGACACAAAATATTCATTCATTTTTTGGTCACTTAAACACAACTGGTTACAACCAGAAGCAGTTAGTTAGAATCAAACGGTTTTACGGTTAGATTTGACAACTATTATCAGATAGTGTTGTACAGAATACTATTTTAGTCAATTTCGTATTTCGATTAAAACCCAGCAAATTCAAAGTGCGAAACAATTTTATAGAATAAAGTTTGTTCTACAAAGCGTGCTATTTACTTTTGCATGATAGTTTTTAAATTAGTGATTTCTATAGAAAGTATGCCTTTAGCGAAAACACGTAGATTTTGTTTGTGGGTAATATTTCATTCTGTACAGAATTCAGTTCTCTACAATTATGTTGAATGAAAACTATTCCAAGATACAAACTAAGGATTGCGCCAAAACCGTTATTTTGCTTTATACAAGCATAGTTGTAGACTTTTTCACAAAATTTACTGATAATTTTTCAATCTTACTCTCAAAAGGAAAATCCGAACATGAAGAATTCTGATTCTAGCTAACTGCTTCTGACTTTAGACAGTTGTTTTTTAGTGATGAAAAAATAAGCGAATATGTTGTATCAAGATTTTCGCGCTATAAGCTATGTATGATTTAGAAGTTGGCATAAAAATTATGATTTCAATATGTGAGGCGTCGAGTCTGTCGGGCTCTAGCCATCGAAGAAATGTGTGGGATGTGCACTAGTCACCGACGACAAGAAAATCAGAAAAAAGTATCTAATATTTTCGATGCTACTATCCAATTCTGATTAGAAAGCTTCATTGGAAGTATCAATCCTTCAGAAATACGATAAGGAAGTAGTTCATATATTATAATGGGCAATTATTGATATACGATTTTTGATCGTATACCTACAACATCTGAGATGTGGGCGGAGAAGGTTCAAATGTTTATCCCAATACTTCAATATTCCTGTTAAACTGTGTTTCACAAAAAATGATTGTCATCAAACGGTCACGATCATTAATTGTCTCATATAAATCTAACTGTCTGCAATGGTATGTCTCATTCAATATATTCATAAGATATACTTCCATCAAATTTCTACTATTTGTTTATCTAACTTTTTTTGAATATATTAAATACAATACATACTAAATTGAATTAATAATTTTCCATATCCTTTTCGTTGATAAGGTGGTAAACATAATAAACAAGATAAATTATATCCAAAAGCCGAATCTTTTTCCTTTGAAAGAAAAAAAAAACATAAGATTCATTAAACTTTTAAAAAATCATATTTTGATAGAAATCTTTACTTTAGAAAAATATCCAATAAAACGTTCTGTTTGATTATTATCATTATATTCCATAAGTACATAAAAAAGAAATTCTGATACATTAAAACAAATAACTTTCGATTCAAGAAAAAGTCGAGCTAATAAACATAAATTTTGACAATATAATTTATTTTGTGCACCATCTATTTCATATATTGCACAACCAATTTTTGAGTCTCGATAAATTTCAATACCAGGTGCTCGTCTCAATGGACATTCTGCCTGTAAAAGTAAGAAAAACCAAAAATGATCAATCAAAAAAAGAAAAAAAAGTCAAAATTTACAAGATGACGACAATATGTTGTTTTAAGACGCATATATTTCATACAATGTTCACATATATATAATAAACGTTGTTTACCATATTCATCCGGAAATGGTGAATGATACCAACAATCAATTTCATATTGACCAATCCAAATTTTTTCAATATATTTTACCTTAAAGAAAAAATTATTGAGATTGGCTTTTTTTCTCGTTTTTTCTTTTTATTTACATTCGGTTTGTAATCTTTTCGAGTATTTTGATCAACAGTTTCAAATGAAGATTCATGAGAAAAATCAATTGAATCCTAAGAATACAAAAAAAGTATTAATAAGTATTCATTAAAATATTATTAATAATACATCATTTAAACGACGTTTTAGACGTGCTCGTTTTCGACTAGTTAAACTATTTGTTGAATCATTTAATTGTTCATTTGTTATTTCCATTTGTTCATGACTAGCATTTCCTGATAGACGATTTTCTGATATCCATTGATCATTACGATGATCAACTAAAATATGTAAACTTACAATTAATTAAAATAAAAATTTTAACTTACAGTTAAGATAATGTACAAAATATTCTTGTTGATCAGTACCATCGACAGCACGAGTTTCAAGAATTTCAGCTGCATCTATAAAAATTTAATTTATCAAATTATAAATTTTAAAGAATAGAAAAAAAACAAAAAGAAAACTCTCAACTTACGAATAGAGCCATTATTCATTCGAACAAAAAATGTGTCACCAGGCTTAGGAGAATTTGGAATATTTGAATCGAGTTCCATTGACTAAAATTTATATACTACAAATCTAAAATGAGAAAAAAAAACAAAAATCTGTTCTTTGATACAAGATATTACAATAGTCCATCGTAAACAATATCTGTTAAACAATGTCAGCGAATATAATTGTACAGTAGTGAAGAAAAGTTCCTTCCCCTCCCCCCCCCCCCCCCCTCTGTAGCAGATCTCAGCTTCCATACATGCAGGAGGTATGGAAATTTTTGTGCACATACTCCACCGAGAATGTAGGTCGGCGACATGATGTTGCCTCGATAGCTTAAATGCAATGAGAATTATGATGGACGGCACCTATTTTTTCTTCAAGCTTTTTAATCTAAAAAAAAGCTGTCTATTAAATCTTGAGTTACTTTTTATCAATTATATGACTAGTTCTTGATATTTTTATTTTCTGGAAGATCGATATCTTTGAGCCCTCAGCACCAACACGATGATTATTGACATGCCGTTTCCCTTTAGAGGAAGGTTCTTTTCTGACAGTGGTAGGCAATAATGTTCAAGTAAAGACAAAGCTTCCTTAAAAGTTTGAGCTCGATTCATTGAAGTATTACTGAGTTATGGTCTACAAAGAGTATCAGGAAGTTTCTCGCCCATCGAATAGTCATAGTAAAATGGTTACCAATCTAGCAAAGGTTATGGGCTAAAAACGTGGATAGTCGTAAATAATGAGGAATCGGCTGATCGATAAAACCTGTTCTTTTCAGACATAAAGTTCATAAGAAAAATAAGTGATATCTACTACAGTTCCCGTTGTATTTAAACAATCGGGGCAAGCTAATGGTGCTGATCTACATTCTTGGTGGATCATGTGCACACAAATTTTCAGATCTTCAGTACCTATGATAGCTGAGGTCTGATAGAGAGAAGCTTTTGTCCACTTTGAAGTTTCATTTCATATAATTTTAATCTAAAAGAAATACTCAAAATAATTACTATTGTTATATACAAAGAAAGATAACAGTTTTGGCGCAGTCATCAGTTTGTGTCTTGAAGCAGCTTCAATTTAACATTATCGTAGAACACTGAATTCTGTGCAGAATGAGAGATTACCCATAAGCGAAATCTATGCATTTCCACTAAAGAGATGGTTTCTATAGGAATCGCTATTTCCAAAACTGTCATACAAAAGTAACTAGCACACTTGGTAGAGCAAACTTTGCTCTATAAAACTGTTTCACATTTTGAATTCGATAGGTTTCAATCGAAGTACGAAATCGACTAAAGTTTTGATTTAATTTGTTTCCGTTATTGTTTCTCATTTTGAATTTAAGTAGATCTTTATATTAGCTTACATTTTAGATTGAGCGATAAATCATTTAAAAGAAAGCGATCTTGTCCAACGAAAACGAATATTAATATTAAAAGTCATATAACTTCAACTTAACCTTATAGATCTTCTTTGTGAAGTCTGTTGGATAAATTTATATCTCGTATGGCTTAATAAAAAGATATTCCATCATAATTCGGTATACTATTGTTCGTGGTATGAAGCAGACTATTGAATCAATCTATAACACTCAATAGGGTCTTTTTTTTACAAACATTATGAAGGTTGTCAATCTACTACTATACTAACTTTATAATAGCATTGAAAAATATCTCTAATGCAGTCTATGTCTTACGTATATGTATCAAGTTTGTCGTGTATTTTTCATTTAACAACTATAGATCATTCAAATTCGATCATTAATAAAATTATTATAAAAAATTATATGAAATTCCTTAAACTGATAAAAATATATTCACGTGTTTTTTTCTACGGTGAACCTTTCAGAGACTCTCTAACTTATAAATGGAGAAGATATTGATTATATGGAATAAATAATAAATATAAGTTCGAAATTGCGTTAAAATTAATCCTTCTCATAGAGTTTCGAAAAAAAAAGATGTCAGCAGATTAAGGATGTAAAGTTTTAGTTTACTGACCACTACCAATTCAGTGGTGTAGTCAGTAGAGCTCGTCAAGTTGAAAATTTCCGGATCCGACGGACTCTAGTAGTTAGTGCACCCTGAAATACACCGCTAAAAAAAGGACATATTTCGATAGAATCGATGTTTCAATGTTGCAGCGAACGCGAATGCCAGTGGACCCTATGCCGGTGACTCACTACCAGTATTTACTTCAACACTGCACATTCCTACGAAGGGTAGATATCTATCTTTCTTATAGATTAAGAAAATAGAAATAAAAGATTATTTTGTAAAATTAATTAACAAATGAATAAATTTTATTCTAAAATATTGACTTTTTTTCCTTTATAAATGAATATTTTAGCTACCACCATAAATATAATCCCCCATGAATACGTTCAATTGTATAATCATGAATTAAATTTTCATTTTTAATTAATCCTTGTATTTTTTCAATAATTTTATAATTTAAATTTAAAAGAAATAATGCAAAAAGAGATTTCGATTTTAATAATAAATATCGTAAAATTTCTTCAAGATTATTTTCATCTATACCTATTTCAAGATATTGTAGATGAGGAAATAAATGAATTAAGCAATGAATATGTTTCATTTGACATTCATCATCATCTATAATTAGTTTTGTTATTTTATTATTTTGAGATATTAATTTCGTAGTTTCAATTCGTTTAAATTGAAATGATAATATATTTGATAATGTTAATGATTGAAGATTTGGTAAAAGAGATAAAATTTTAGTTAATTCAATAATTGAAAAATGATTATCTTTAATATCTAAATCAATAATTTGTATTAAAGGAATAATAGAATTTATATCATTAAAAAATAATGAATTTTTTTCAATAGAATTATTTTTAAGAGTAAGTTTTGTAACTCGTGGAAATTGTATTGAATATTTATCTGTTTTTAAATGACCTTCAATAGTTAAATGACGAGCAAAATTAATACTATTATTTTGATATGATTTACATATATCATTATTAATTTGTTCATATAATATAAAATGATTATACCTTGCAAAAAGAAAAAAATATTTATTTATTTATTACTTTAGAACTAATCAAAAGTTCTGATAACGTTGCTAGCAGAATACATATTGGAATATCTTATCTATAATAACATATATACAATAAATTCATATCGGATTTAGTTCGATTATTCTTTCAGATAAGATCAAATGGTTCTGATCTTTTATCTTATACAGATACAGATAAGACTATAAATTACAACTATATTATGTTGAAAACTGTCTAAAATCTTTTGTTAACAAAAAAATGAAAACAAATAAAGACATGAGGTACAAAATTACTTGACAATCATCGTTGATTTCATACTTATCTAACGTTAATAATAATTATTTAACAGATGAAAACATCAATATAATCTCACATTTGACATATGTGCCAGATGTGAGGCTATGTAATTTTTGATTAAATAATTACACTGAACTTAGTTTAATTGATAAATATAAAATTATTTATGCAATTTTAAAGATAGTTAAAAATACTTCTGAAAAAGAATTCAAAAACACTGAACTAATTCGTAGAAAGAAACAAAATTTATATAAATACTATTGGCAACTATCTCGAACATCTAATAAAAAGCTATTATCACAATCTCTGCAGAATTAAAGTATGAACTAGAATATAGCTACTGTTGCTTATCAAACAGAGATTGCTTTATTCTATGTATTTCGGGACACTTTTATTCGCTATTCTTTTACTTAATCCTCCAGAAATGCAATAAATAGTTCATATATTATAACGAGATGTTATTCAGATATGATCACAGACCGTATACAAATGTCTCTCATAGTCTGTAACATTTTCGTGGTTACGTGTCATAATTGGCGTTATTTCATAGACCAGGCAGAAAGGTGTATTTTTTGACTTAGAAAGACCTTATTTTGTGCTCTACATTGCTTTATCATCTTACAAATGTCAATATGACCTGAAAAAGTCAAACCCAATTAAAAAAAAAAAGTTTTTCACCAAAAAGTCACTATTAAAGAATCTTACTCTATATATACGTGAAAAACTTTCTTTTTTACAAGACTAATAAATTATACATCATTTGATGTTGATCACAAATATGAAGTCACTCTTCTATGAAAATGTTTCTGTGTCGAGAAAAATAAATTTTATTTTTAAAAACCTGTAGTTCAGCTGTACAACGCTCGCGCTAACATTGTATCGATGTTATGAGTAGAAGGACATTTGATGAAAATTTCGTTCAATTTGAAATTATGAAAAATTGTACAAGCTCATTATGTTGAACATATATTTTCGTAAAAACACTCGATGTTAGAGAGAAAAAAAAAGACTTTTCTCGAATCTCAAACAGATAAAATCGAAAGTTCTTTTTTTTACGAAGCGATAGAGTGTAAAAATAGTTTCAGATTATATATGACTCTCTCCATATGTTTTTAATTCACAGTGTAAAAAAGGCTCCTAATCTTTAGTAATAGCATGTTTCGGTGAGGATGCAGATGTGTAATATCCACAGTGTCTATTTTTATTTGGTGTTATTAAAATTCCTTTGGTTAACTCTCAGTAGTATTTACCTGTATGGAACAGTTGAAAAGAAATTCAAATAATAAGAATTTTCATTTTTATAATAATAATAATCAAACAACCATTTTCGTTCAATCCAAAATTTTGAATAAAATTGTTCAATTAAATTTTGACGAAAATTATCATCAATTAAACCGATATATTGTAAATCAAATATACATAAACAAGGCATATAATTTAAAATTAATTCTTCCCATTGTTTAACATTTAAAAAATTTTCATCATTAAATTTTTTTATTCTTAATTTTTTCAATTGAAAACTTATTTTCGATAAAAATAATTTTAATTCATTAAATGATATACAATATAATGTTAAACAAATACTTATTAAATTTACTGGTATGCTTACTATATCTATTTCTGTACATTCTGAACCATAAAGATATTCACATGATAGATGATCAAGTTTAGGTAAATAAGAAAGTATAGAAATAAGTTGATCAAGACGAACATGCCCATTAAGTATTAAACATTTAAGTGTTTGACATTGATTTGTAGCCAATGGTAATGGAATACGTTGTCCACCTGATGGAAATGTTAATTTACAAAATTTTAATTTTGATAAATGAAATATTGAAAGATAAATTGAATTTTCATTTTGAAAATAATCAGATGAATAAATTGAAAGAGAAGAAAAATTTGGTAGACAATCTAAATGATTAATAAGTAAACAAATTTTATCTGAATGTATTTCATAAATAATTAAAGATTGAAGAGATAAAAATAAATTTATTGAAAAATAATCAAGAAAATATTTTGTTATATTTAATGAAATAATTCGTTTGATATTTGTATTAATCATAGATTTATAATGATTTTGAAAAATTGATTTTGATATTAATGATAAATTTATTTTTAATAATAAAGATGAATTAATAAATAATGATTGAAAACGTATATTAAGTTTACTGAAAATTTCATAAATAAAAAAATAATCAAAATAATCAAAAATTTCATAAATTAATTCATTTGATAAATCTTCAAATTTAGTTATTAATAATCTAAGATTAAAACATAAAAAGTCAGAAAAAATTCATTTTAAAAAACTAATGTTTTGTTTTTACTTTTTCTTATTATCAATATTTTGTTTTACTATCTTAGCCTCTTGTCGACGTTTCATAATTCTAAAATAATGTTCAAGTACAATAATCTTTATTCTTTGTCTATTTGAAATATCTATGAGTTTCTTTTTTTTTTTTTATTTAATTTATAAACATATAAGATAAGTTATTATTGTTATTTTTTTTTTTTGTTTATTCTTTCTGTATATATTTATATATATAAAACAAAAACCAACAAGAGAGAAGAGAAATGTATCTGACAATGTTCTCACTGTTAAATACAAGAAATATCTGACATTACAAGATTTTTTTTTTTGTTTATGTCTTTCGTTTTTAAAATTTTTCTTCATAATTATCAAATGGTTGTAAAGAAAATTGAACAATTGATTCTAATACCCATTCAGGACTAAGATAATTAACACCATTTGAACGAGATGTTTCAAATAATTGTTGTTGATTTAAAGAATTAAATGGAAGTATTTTATCACATAGAACAATAGTTAAAATGGAACAATCATTTGGAGTTGTTATTGGAAGATTATTAAGAAGTGTACCATTACATAAAGTAATTAATGAAGCAAGTTCAGTTTTAGACTAAAAATAATATATAATAATGATAAAAGAAGAAAGCTAAGTATTACAGAAAATATTTTTCGACTTAGAAAATTTCTATGATTGTTAAAATATATTTTATTTTGTGAAATAAGCAAATGTTGTTAATAAAATTTTGCAGTTAAATAACAAACATTCATTATAACGATGGTAAAGATCGAATTAATCATTCTACACGTGATCCGGATAATATGTTACTCTGAAGTATTTTATCTAATTGGTCTCGAAGACTTTCCTTATTAAGCTTATGAGATATTTTGTTAGCAATCATTGCGATTAGAAAAAACATAAAATAAGAATAATTTTTTTTTTTACCTCTTTATCTTTCCAAGAAGACTGAATATATAAATATCCTTGTTTCATTCATATGTGAACTAAATATAAACAAGCAGCCTTGTTCCAATTTCCATGTAGGCTAAAACCAAATTAAGCTGATCCTTTTCTTCATATCTAGTTGAACCTCAAAGAAAGATATTCGACACTAAATATAATCGTAGTATAACAGCTCGAACTTATTAAATTTAGTATTCCAGATTTAACATAGCGGTATTGTAAACGATTTAAAACGGTTACCATTTGCTAGTGAAAAACACACTACATGTAAACGAACGGAATAATGACAGAATATAATGATACTTAATACAATAATACAGCGTTTCATAGCTATTTCCGACAATCGAAATGATCGGCCTAAGGAAAGGATTATTTCAAATTATCTATTAGCAAAATTATTACTAAGCATAAAATCAGAATAAAAAAAAAAACGGCTGATCTTCTTCATATTTCCTAAACAAACAATATTGAAATGGAGATGAATTTCAAACATAAATTACAATACAAATATTTCTTATTATTCTTTCATTTCAATATAAACACAATAAAATTTTTGAAGAAAATTCTTTTCAAAAAAATCGATTATATGATTAATTCTTTTGATTATTTTCACTTACCATTTTTTCTTGACATCCATCACATAATATAAAAAATTGACAATTTTGAAATAAATTTACATGTTTAGATAAACGACTATTACGCATTCCATCATGATATTGTCCAAATGGAATATCACCACGTATTTCAAATGAAATTTCATCAATTATATGATTTTGTTTTAAACATTCAATAATCCATCGATATGTTACAACAAATAAATGACGTGCTATTGCTTGAAATACTTTTATTGTTAATGGACATAATAATGGTTTTTCTTCATTTCCAATAATTAAATGTGTTGTATGTTCATCAACACAATTTGATAATTTTATTTGATTTGGAAATAATGATGCTAATCGTTGAATTTCAGTCTAAAATAATTAAATATCGAAAAAAAAATATCTTTCATTTTTTTTTAATTTTCTACATACAAGTTGTTCAATTTTCAAACAAGAATATGCCATAACAATATGTTTTTCGGTTGATGAACAAATCTTAACATTATTAGAAATATATGTATCATCATGATTTCCATCACTTGTATATTCATTATCAAATGATGTTGATAATTCTATTGACAAAAAAAAATCAGGAATAAATACATTTAAGTGGAATAGATCCGATTCCTGATTAACAAGTTCAAATAAGTCAATATGTTCAAAAGGAAATTTGAATTTTTTTTTTACAATGTTTAATCTGTGCAAATCGAACTTCAACAATAATCTTTCATATGGAAGTATTCTGAAGCTTTAATCTACATGAACTGATAGATTCAAAGAGAATTTAAAGTTAATGATGTAATTTTGAAACAAAAAAGAAAGAAAATGATGATAGAGAACTTATTGACAAAAAACAACACAATAACATCTCCAAGAACTGATTTATGATTTCGGAAATTTTTCAAAAATCAAATATCTATTTTTGTGTCGTGGTAGCGGCCACTCAACTGACATCTCTATTCATGACCAACGGGAGTATGTAATTTCTCAGATTAATCAACGAAATCATACATGAATCTATCTTTTATTTTCTATTCTCAAACATTTCGAATTGGTTTGCCCTCGATTAAGATCTTTCTGAATTCGTCTCTAACAAATTTCTAAAGAGATATTTTATTAATTGAATGATCATCTGACATTTTACTTTATTGAAAGAAATATGAGCAATATCATACAAGAACATAACATGAAAAAAAAAAGATTACTTAATAGTATGTTTTACTTTCTTCACACTTGATAGCAAGTTCAATGTGAGTAAGAGTACTAACTGCCCATTCTTTAAGATGGAATTCAAGTTTCGAAGGATGCGGGTATGTTTATCTATACACCGACTAGAGCTTGTCAAGTCGGGTCTAAAATTTTAGGACACGATGGTCTTTAATTCTCTGAGAAATATGTAGAGTGTACTAATCATCGAACACAAAAATCTAGAAAACCTCGTATCTTCAGAGCGACCATCCAATTTCGAAAAGAAAATTTCATTAGGAGTGTCAAAGTACGGCTCAACTAGGTATCAAAAACATTCAATACGCTACATCCAGATTCGAAAATTTTAGACCCGACAGACTCTAATACTCACGACCTTATGCAAACCCACTATATATAGATAAAATCTTAAAGCCAAGAATTGAGTATTAACTGCCATTATTTAAAAACAAATATAAAGAGAACGAGTAGGGAGAAACGAATTTATTCGAGATGTATATGGTTACAGTCGGAGTGTTCTCTTTCAAACTATGTATTATATATTGAATATGAAAGCATCATTTAATCGATTTGATTATATAATAAAAATATATTCTGTACCATTAAATGATAAATTTTGTGTTGAATGTGGTGGTGATAAAGTATCATCAAGATGAAATGAATCATCTTGTTGTTTTTTCTTTTTCTTTTTTGCGTATAGATTTAATGGTAATTTATTTTCTTTTCGCATTTTAACTCGAGCATTTGTAAACCAAACAGTTATTTGTGATAAAGACATTTTAGTTTTTTCCATTAATTCTTGTTTATCAACTTCATTTGGATCTAGAAACACATACATACAGAGATTAAATAATTAAAAAACAAAAATGACATCTACATACATGGATGATGTTGATGTTCAAAAAGCCATTGTTTTAATGGACCTGTTGAATTTTTTTCTCGACCTGTTGTATTGAATAAAGTTGATAATTTATCATCTATAATAATAATAATAAAAAAAGAGATTAATTACATTTCAAAATTTTTAGGAATACCTGTCATACCATTTGAATATTGAACCGATAAATCATTTTTATTCACCTTACAATTTGTTTTTTTATTCTCACCAAATGTTATCGGTGTTGTATCATCAAATAACATTTCATCATCGCCAGTACTTGCAAAACTTTCTTGATGAAGCATATCGATTATTCAATAGATCTTTTTTTTTCTAATGATCGTTAACATATACTAAACACAAGAGATCATTCGTACGAATAGAATAGAGTTCAAACAGAGGTCAGTAATTTTTTGCTTTTTTTTTCGATGGTGAAAAATAAACACCAATGAAAAGAAACATATATAATTTACTTGCTATTTGTCATTTTTATATAGAAAAATGCCTCTTGTCGAACCAAATACTTTAATATCACAACAACAACCACAACAGCAACAACAACAACAACAACAACAACAACAATCTCAAAAATCAAAACGAAGATCTCATTCAAATGAACGAATTTCTCGTGAAAATAATCGACAAAAATCTCGAAGAAATGCACGTTCAAGAAGTGGTGATCGTGAATCATCATCATCAAGTAGTGGTATAAAAAGAAAAAAATTTATTTTATTAAAAAAGATTTCTAAATTTTTTGTTTTTTATTTAGATAATGATCGTGAAGATGCAAATGAAAGTATGGATGAAGATGATGATGCAAGTGTAAGTGATCGAAGTTCACGAGGAAGTTCATCAATTAAACAAACAACTGGAATTCGATGGGATTATCGAGTAATTTTACAAGCACCCCATTGAACTTAGTGATCTATCATAAATCAGGATGCCATATATGTGGTGTTGTAGAGCAAATCGTGATGCACCAAATTTTGATGTGCTAAGAGTCAATACATTGATTGTAATGCTTGAGGATATTATAGAGTACTCATAGACTTTGTAATTTGTGGAATATTCTAAGATAAACTTATTTAAATTCTTTTTCAAGCTGAATTTGATACAGTTATAGGTGCTCTTCAATTTTTCGACAATCAATAGTTTTTATCGTTGTTTTCTTCATACTACCTAGGTTATTCCTTGACTAAATGATATTTCAATATGTTCAACTCTGTGTTACAGAACAAATGAGTACCAGCATAAAAATTTCTAATAAATTGTACACATATCAATCACTATATGTTTCATACATAATATCTTCCGGAACAACAGAAATACATTGTCCTCTAGAATAGTTTATTCTTTCTATACGTGAAGGTACCGATATATTTACGGTATTTTAAGATCTTATTAAAAATTTTTTATATAATAATGTTCACCATGGCACCTCTGATGAATTGATATAAATAACTTCTTTTTAAATGGAAAAAAATGTTTGATCTCCAGGCCTCTGGAGGGCTATAGGTATAAGGTTGCAGGAAGGATAGCTATTATTTTTATTATTTGTTTTTCAAATTTTTATTTCAGATATCCAGGTTTTATTTTTGCATAAAACTCAACAAAAATCTATAAATATCTCAACTTTATTTTTAAAATAAATTTTTCCATATTGCAACCTTCCAGGGATTCGTAGATTAAACAAATTTTTTCCGTTTATAAAAGAGCTATTTATATCAGTTCATTAGTATTGGTACAATATCATCAATATATCGGTTCCTTCATATAAGAAAAAAAAACTATTCTAGGGAATAATGAGTCGCTGCTATGCCGAAAAATGTTACGTGTGAAACGTATAGATTTAAGTATGAAGAAAGCGACGATGAAAACTATTGATTGCTGAAACATTGAAGAGCACCTATAACTATATTAAATTTGAATTTAAAAAAACCATTTCCATAAGTTTGTCTTAGAATATTCCATGAATTACAATGTCTACGAATACCCAATAATAGTCCTCAAGCATTATAACCAGTTCATCGATTCTTAGTACATGCAAGTTTTCATAAAAACTTGATTGTTTATATACCATTTGATATGTCGCTATTTGCTTTACAAAATTACATATACAGCATTCTGGTTCAGGATAGACTATCAAATCCGGCGGAGTCCTTTGAAACATAATAATACATATATTTTTTTTTCTTTCTTTTATAAAGATGAATCTTATCGGAAAAAGAATAAAAGAAACAAAATCATTTTGTTGTCTTAGTTGCCGTTATCCTGTACTACTTGTTGGACGATTAGTAAGATATTTAGAACGAAAAAAAAACCTAAACTTTATTCTTTTGAATTTTTAGATGCCTTGTAAACATGCAGCTTTTTGTTTACAATGTGCTAATGAATGTAAAAGTAATCGTCGTAATTGTCCAAAGTAAAAAATTTCATCATTATTTTATACAAAATAATTTTCTTTTTTAATTTAAAAAAGATGTAATGATGCAATTACTGATGTTGAGAAAATTGAAGCAAAAAATCTTATTCTTTGTTCTCAAGGTTCACATCCACATTCACAAGATGGTTGTCTACGTGGTTATACATCCCAACGTGATCTTCAAGCACATATAAAACGACGTCATGAACAAACAGGACAAACACGTCTCGATTCTCCACACCAATTACTTCCACCTACACATTCACCATCGACTGGATTTTCTGGTCTTGTTGTCGATTCACAACAACAACAACAGCAGCCATCTCAAATTCCTCCTCCATTAATGACTTTTCCACCATTAAATGTTTCACCAATGGCAGCACCACCATTATTTGATATGGGATATCGTCCACCAACTTATGGACTACCACCACCTCAACAATTTATGCCTTCTCAACCACAATATCGACCACCATATGCACCTAATCGACCATTCTATTAGATGATTTTATTTTGTATATAATCTGAAAGTTTTGTTTCATTCTAATAACCCCTGTTGCAAAAGTCTTTAGACAAAATGTTTATTCATTTTTCAGCCGCCTAAACGTCATTAGTGAGAATCAAAAGTAGTTAGTTAAAATCAGATTTTTGTGCTCTTTTCGAATATCTGATCAGAATATTTCACTGACTCAATATTGATTAGGGATAAGCCAAATGTTTGACAGAGTCGAAAATGATGTTTGTACAGAATTTTATTGGATGTATTTTTGTGTTTCGATCGATATCTACTCTACGCAAAACATGAAAGATATTTTCATCAGCCAATTTTATAGAGCGAAGTTTGCTCTACAAACTATGCTATTTAGTTGGGTTTTCCATCTCGAAACAAATACATGCAATCTGTTGTATTATAAATAGAAGATCTTGGAAAACTGACTTTTTGGCAGGATTTTATTTTACGTACCAATCAGTTCTCAGAAAAACGTCTACAACCTTTTATTCATTTGAGTTGAAGCCTATTGTCATATATGGTTTTATAGAGAATTGAATGCTCTACAAATTGCCAATTTCGAACTGCTTCAAAATCCAACTTACATAAGTAATGAATAGCGGGAAAACATGTGTTTTCTTCGTCGAGATGTCATTCTTCGCTTCTTTCAAGTATTAACTTACAGCTAACCAATCTTAAGCCAAAGAGATATTCTGAACACATATCAGAGAAGAGCAGATAAGACTGACTATAAGGAGCTACTCTTGGTTCGTATCAAATACTTTTAGCGGCTGAAAGATGAACAAACATTTGCAGAATGACTTTTTGTACAGACATCATTTTTCACTCTGTTAAAGATTTGGCCCATTTCTAATCAATGTTAAGTCAGAGAAATATTCTGATCAGATATTCGGAAAGAACACAAAAATCTGATTTTAGCTAACTGCTTTTGATTCTCACTAATGACGTTTAGGCGACTGAAAAATGAATAAACATTTTGTCTAAAGACTTTTGCAACAGGAGTTATATAAATGAACAAAGAATATAATCATTTCTGTACAATATTTCATTTAAAAGACTAAATGGTACACAACAAGATGTTTAATAAGTTCTGAAGCTCAACGAAAAATTAATTTATATGTAGACAGAGAATGTATCTATATGAGATTTGAGTATTCTTATCAATGTGTCACATATAATATAATATTGAATGAAATCTATTCTCGTTTAAGAATAGTAATATAAATATAATGTTCAATTCTTTTTAGAAATTGCTCAACAAAATCTTTTATTATGAAAAAGAAAAATACTATATTTGATTAATACAAATAAATTGATTATGCAAAAAAGTTGGGTAACTATCAAGTATTTCCAGGTCTATGATTCTGGACATCGAATCCATGGGTTTTCGGCGGCTGACTCTGTCCTGTTATGATCAATTCCAACCGAAAGTGGAAAAATCCAACCATTAGATTCCTGCTTCCAGGTTCCTACCATTTTCCAGACCGGAATTGGTCGTATTTCATTCATTTCCAATATTTTTTGTTTAATCTAATTTATAACTTTATAAACCTTGAAATTATCTTCCTGATACTGTTTTTTTCCATCAATCAAACTATATATAGAATAAGCAGTTTCAAATGACGAAAAGATATGAACATTGTTTGCAAAATAATAAATATTCATCCTACAGAATAAATTGTTTTCTGTCGGTCACAGAATGTGCTCATATGCTTTAGTTCATTTTGAACTATTTGTGCAGGATATAGTCTGACTGATCATCTGATCAGTGGCTTATGACAAGTGACAAATAAATGTTCACAATAATTACCTATTAATTCTTACTATATTTTTCATTTCAGGTGTGTTAATGATGTTCAAATAATAAAAAAATGTTCTTGGTCGATTTTGCAAAATTGAATATTATGTTCTTATATTTATACTTCTACTCTTATAAAAGAATAGATGTCTTTCAATATTATATCATATGACACGTCAACACGAATATCCAAACCTCGTATAGATACATTCTCTATTTGCATATAAATTAATTTTCGTCATGACTTAGAACTTATGAAACATCATATGAATCTCAAAGTAGCAACACAAATATTTATCAAATTTCTTATTATTCGAGTTTTGACGGAAAAGTTTCATTGACTAAATTGAAAATATTCATAATATCAACCTACTACGATAGTCAATATAATCATATAAAAAAAAACAATATTGCAACAACAATTTTGAGCATAAACAATATATTTTTTGTGCTTGTTATGGTCTGGTCTATGTCAATGTGACTGGTAAGGATATTACATCATCGTATGAGTTATATATAAACACTACTGTCGATATTATCATTAGATTTCAATAATTCTGTTTAAAATACATTAGGATATCTTTATTCAAGTCAATACTGAAACAAACATATCGTAAATACCAAAAATTTCAACCCCGATTTCATATTTTAAAAGAAAAATTTTGCAAAAAACAAATGTGCTGATTCGTAGCTATTTACTTATAAAATGAGATTGAGAAACAAATTATAATCGAATTTAAACAATTGTATATTATTATTGTCAATGAAGATAATAAAATCGATTACAATTTATCTAACTATTTTTAACTCTAAATAAATTAATTTCAAAACTCTCGTCTTCTTTTTGTTTTAAAATTCGCAAGACATTCTTGTTACAGATCTTCTTTCACTTTCAAAATAATTAATTTTTTGTAATGAAAAAAAAAATTCTCGAAAGAAAAAAATTTCAAACAGTTTGGAACGTATGATATCAATCTGATAATCAACCAACATATGTTTGTACTTAATATTTTATTTTAAAAAATTCACAACAATGAAATAATGTAGTACGAAAATTATAAAAAGTTTAACAAGAAAAGATCATTCGCTTGTTTTAAGTAACGTGAAAAGTCCTTGTAGAATATTATCAAGACTTATTTCATTCTAATCAAATAGCAATCGGAGTGAATGAATTCGTTGTCGAAGTGCAACGGTTTCTTTGTTTTTCTTCTTCTTTTCATCCGTTATCATCTGCAGCATTTGTTGACGAACAATAACTTCTTCTCTTTTGAGTAAAGCTAGTCAGACTCGGATCAGTTAACAAAAAAATTTCAGACTCGGATCCGATCGAGTTCGGAATCAATCCGACAAGCTCTACTCTTGAGACAATCAAATAAATGATTTACATGAAACTAGCTAAGTGATAATAGAATGAAAGTATATCTTTCGATATTTAAGACGATTGATTTACTTATTCGAAACCGTACGATTCCATTCGATATTTTATTTAATCAGTTTTCTAAAATTACATCTATGTCTTCAATGACGGATCTAATACTTTAGAGATGAAAGGGAAAAGTGATATATCGGAAGACATGGACTATCGCCCTCCTTATTCCAATCTATATTCACCACTGTATACGTTCGAACCATTTGTGAACTTATACTTGGTGTATATCATCTACTTCTTCTTCTTTATAGATTATGAAAATGTCTTATTCGATCGAAGGTTGTAAAAATAACTCTTTCTAATCAATATAAATTAAATGACATTTTTTACATAGTCTAACTTTCATAAATTCTCAGTGTATATATATATATATATATCTTGCTCATGTCAATCTTCTCATTCGTCATGTTATTTTCACGCCTTTTTCTTTCTTTTTTTGATTGATGAATGCCAGCAACAAATATATATATGTATGTTGTATATTGTCTATGCTTTTTTTTTTCTTTCTCTCTCGATCTTTTCTCGTATCCAACCAAATGTATACAAAACAATATAGTACAAACATTCCGGAAGAAATATTTTATTCAATAATGATAATGAAAATTTTATCTAAGAAAAAAAAAAAAAAAAAGAACAAACAGTTTAGTTAATTAGTGTTAAACTCTATGATTTTGAAATAAGCTCATTATTTTCTTTCACAAATCTTTGATTAGTTGTTAATTGGTATTAAGATGATCTATTCTAATTAAAATTAGATATTTGATATAAATAGAGTTTTACATTTTCATTTGTATCAAGAATGAATCGAACACATAAGAAAAATTATTCTTCATCGTTTAATAAATTTGTTGCACATCTTCAACGTACATTTTCTTCTAAAAATACCAAATCATCAACTGTTATTATTCAACAACAACAACAACAACCACCGCGTAGTTATGTATGTGTTTTTTTTTCTTGTTAGGTACATTGTAAAGTATATGTATAATTTAAAATCGTTTCATATGTTTTTTTAGTTGTCAACATTTACAAATCGTTTTCAATTATCTGATATACTTTATAATCCATCACGTTCAATTGAATATCTAAGTGAAATCAAAGATCAAGATGATTATTCTTATTCATTTTCTTGTTATAATTCAATAAATACTCATCAGGAAGATGAATTTAATTTATCACAAATGAATATCAGTATGAATAACAATTATGATCATTGTTCACGACAAAAACTTATCAAATTACCAATTCGATTACATTCAACAGCAATCGATGATATTAGCAACTGTTGAATATTTGTTATTTTTTGTTTTGTAATAGTAATAATAAATATTTCTTTTTTTTCGATTTACTTTTCTCTAAATTCTGAACTTGATTACAATAGGAAGAAATTACACTATCGGAGAAGAAAATAATATATATTGCCTTATGGAAAGAGCAAACTTGCTCTTTTATCCTAAGTATTTTCTCATCTGTTCTTACCATGATCTATATTTCTCTTATGTGACTGCTAACAAATGAAATTAATAGTTTTTCTTACTAATACATAACAACATAAACGAGTTATATTGCAATATGTATTGAGAAATACTCTGATTCTTTGACACTTCTCTACAATGGTGGATCCAGGGTTTTGGTAAAGCAAGGCGATCATAATAACAAAATGTGTTTTGGAAGTGAGAATCAGAAATAATTTTATTAGAGCAAAAATAAATATAACAGCCTTTAATACATAGATACCAGTACTTTATCGAAACTTTCTTTATCGGAAGGGCGAACAACTATTCTTGGAAGTGCAAACAGCTAATACATCATACAATAACGAGAAACTCTCGGAGGGTCAACTCCATCTTTGGAGGTAAGCGCCCATCCACCCTGAATAAAATATTGATAGAGCCAATGTTGGATTTAGAGTAATGTAGAAATACTTAGTTAAGCTTGTAATTCTTCATGATTATTAACAAAAAAAAAAAAAAGAAGTTTTGTTACCTTTATCATGATTGAAACATTAAGACGAATTCAATAAGAAATCTAGTAATGATATTCGTGATTGGTAGTGATATTTAAATGTATTTTTATTCATTGGAAAATTATCTATTGATATAAACAAAGAATTCTGACTCCTTGATGATATAAATAGCGTGACAAGAGGTTAGCACACATTTGTTTTTTAATTTTTATGATTTTCTTTTTCAATCATTAAATCTTTCTGATCAATCAGTCTCTCTGCTACTTGTCACTTTTTTTTTCTTCTTCTCCTTCTTGTTTTACTCATGATGAATAAAAAGAAGATATAGCCGAATAGGGATTGACTTCAAACGTTGCGTTTGTACATCCCCGATCAATGAATGTCGTAAACCCGTCAACTTGAAATCAATAAACGTACATATGTGTCGGTATGAACTCTTATATGATTACATTAGCACGCGTATATACACTCATTTTTTTCCCTTGAGATGCCTAATGACTTGAAGAGTCAGATTGATTGAGTACAGCGAACGACATTGTATAAGAAGAAGAAACAAAAAGATTCAAATCACCAGTCAAGTGTAAACTAGAACAATCAATGATACTTCTGTTATTGAGTTTTGTTTTCTTCTATTTTTTTTCTGTTTCTTCTTCTTCTTCTACTGTTGTTATTGTTTAATTATATAAAACTACTAAGAGGAAAAAAAAAGAAAGAAGAATTATTTAGACGAATCAGAAAAGAACGATATTCTTCTTCCAACCATTCAGCAAAGCGAATATCATTTTCCTTTTTTTTTCTTCTTTATATCTATTTCCTCATGCGAAGGCGGCAAGCGAGTGATGACAGGCATCCCATGTTGAATCTATTGAAAGATCAAACGAGAAAGATAGACAGACAAGAAAAAAGGCTTGGAAAAAGAGAGAGAGAGAGAGTAAAAGAAACGTTTCCGTCATCTTTCAACAAAATATCAGTCGTGTGATCGAGTAGTGTATCGATTATAATTTAGAATAAAAAAAAGATATGGCTACTACTACTCAATCGATCGTTTCTACATCAAAATATAACGACGATGATTATTTTACTCAATCAAATGAAGATGATTTTCAACAACAAACATTTATTTATCCTGAACAACAAAAAATCAAAGCAACAGTTTCAACTAAATCTAAACAACGAAAAAATAAACGATCAGGTAAAAAAGAAATGTTTCTTATTAACTAAATTGAATTCCATATGTTCATTGATACGGAAAAACGATTCTCAATCATCGATAAAAGCACTATAAAAAAAAACAAAAAAAAAAAGAAACTCAAATTGCAATACATCAACTGATTAGAAAATCACTTATTCTATTCATTCTTTTTATTGAATCTTCCAATGATACACTAAAAAAAACCGATTAGCAAATTATCCATTTGTTAAAATCATCTCACACTTCTGCTTTCTGCTTCTTTTTTTTGTTGACCTTTTTTTCTTCAATCAAACCATCGCAGTATCTTGTCATTTATTGTACAATATATATACATATATACACATTCTCTTCTGCCTGTCGACACCCTTCAAACAAAAGCCTATGAGTAGTAATAGTAGTTCGAATATATATATACGAGACCAACAGTTGTGTTTACTTTTGACCATAAACTACATATATAGACATCTTCATGTCGATTGATTGATTTTGTCCGGCTGTTCGAATGTGTCAATAAATGTTTTTTTTTTGTTTTGTTTTAATAGATAATCCACATGCACCTAAACGTATTCGAACAGCATATACAAATAAACAATTATTAGAATTGGAAAAAGAATTTCATTATTCAAAATATTTATGTCGACCAAGACGTGTTGAAATAGCATCAACACTTTTACTTACTGAACGACAAGTCAAGGTAGAGAGAATTGATCGAAAAAAAAAGAAAGAATGACATTTCTCATAGTATTTTTTTTTTGTTTTAATAGGTTTGGTTTCAAAATCGGTAATTCATTTTCTTTCCTTTTTTCGGTATTTTTTTATTTATTGAATATTTATTTATTTTTTTTTGTTCAATAGTCGAATGAAATATAAAAGACAATTAATGTTACAAGATCCAAAGTTAGCTGAAGAATTTGAAGCTAATGAAATCAATGATGATGATACAAGTATAGATGAAACAGATGTTTCAAGTCCTAAAACAATGGAACGTTTAATACGACCAAAACGTAAAGGAAAAATAAAAGAAAATAAATGTACATCACATTCATGTAGTTCAATTAAAAATGATCAATGGTTATTTGATCAACAAGAAATTGAATCATCGAAACTTTTAGACAAAGTAAATTTTTTCTTGTTGCAAAAAAAAATAAAAAAATTTACAAGAAGAAAAAAAATTATTTAGACAAATCCAATTGAAAAACTTGACTCATTATCTGATCAACATATTCAAGCATGTTCAACTTCACCAAAATTAAATAAAATTGAACAAACATCAACAATTCCTATTGAAGATTGGTCAAATCATCATCAACAACAACAACAGCAACAACAATCATCAACTATGATAACACCACCACCAACAATCACAACATCAAGTTGTGATAATATTAATTGTTCATGTTGTGATTATGATGGACAACTTTATCCATCATCGTCATCATCATCATCTTATAATTCTCATTATTATTCATCGTCACAACAACAAACACCATCTCAACATATGACAGTAAATGTACCTGTTGTGGCTAATTTTCAAGTTAATGTTAATACAACACATCATGGATATCCATTGACGAATTCAAATAATAATCATCATCTTCATTATAATTTATCACGAAAACAAAATACTCATTATCAACAACAACAACCACAACATCAACAACAACCATCACTTTCATCATATTATCGAACTGGATATCCAACATCTATGAAATATAATCAACAACAGCCAGCATCAACTTATCATCAACAACAATATACTTCACCATCTCAAACATTTATGGAAACTAATAATCATTTTCCAATATCATCATCTTATCATCATGATTTCGTATATGGTCATCGTCAACAACATTCAATAGCATATCAGTCTTCTAATATAAATCATCAATTAAATGGACATATTTATCATCAATTATAAAGACTAATACAAAACTATGATTATTTTCTTTCTTTTTTTTTTCGAGAAAAAAATAAATTCTGTGTGTGTGTGTGTGCGTGTCGATTTCAATTGAAAAGACAAATTTTGTTTCTTAAAAATTTCTTTACATTCATCCAAGTAAAATTTTTCGTTCGTTAGATTTTGTTGAAGACGAATTATAATAATAAATACATCGATGTAATATTGTATTTTACTCTTCAGTTATTGTTATCCATTGTTCATTTTCTCCCGTTTTTTTCTCTATTCTCTTTCATTTATTTAGCTAGCACATAATTTTGATTCGTTCTTTGAGAACATAAGAAAAATTTTCGTATGGCTACAATGAAGAGAAGTGATATTGTTTAAACTAAAGTTTCTATAACTGTTAAAAAATGAACCAATGTATATCAAGAAACATATTATAGACTAAAATTTATTGAAAACAAAAAGATATGATCATGAACAACAATCAATGACTATTGAAGTTAAGTCTCCTTCACATGTAAATCTTCATTTTCAATCAGTTCTACGTAAGTTTGTAGAACTCGATGAGCTGATCACGATGGCATAAAGCGTTCTTTCTTATAGACTATTTTTTGAGGAGTTAGATCGATTTCAACTTCAGAAAAATTATTGTAGGATGTTATTTCGAAAGTATTATAATTTTTATGTTAGTCTAGTACTTAGCATTCAAATCTTTAATATTTAATGCGCATTAATTGACTGTACAACACATTTACATAATCAATATAAATAGAAGTACTAACTATATCTATACTTTGAATATGTTAATACCATTAATACTGTAGATGTACAGAATACAAATATCTTTTTCAAAACCGATCAAGATTCTCTTGGGATAATATTTTAAAGATGTAGTAATTAAAACCTTGTTAGATATCTCGTTTTCAATAGTTTAAATTCTATTTAATTGTTTCCTCACATGTTTATGTGAAGCAGTACAATGGATGAGACAGATAATTAACACATAAGCAACATGCATTTTCAATGTATGTCCTAAATAGATGAGCACACAATTGAAATACATCCACAGTATTAATGGTATTGACATATTAAAAATATCGACGTAGTTAAAACCTTTATTTATGTTAATTTGTATAGTTAATTAAAGCATAACAGTGTTAAAGCTTTGAATGCTAACAAGAAAATCTTTCCAACTTGAAAATTGCTTTTGAGTTCAAACTTTGTGCATAAGGTAAACCTCAATGAAGTATTAAAAATCTCAAAAGGATAAGGATCTTTAAGTCTTCCCTACAGAATTATTGCTGTTTTACTAATAGACCTATTTGTAACTAGAATGTCCTGAAAATTTTAGCAGTTTCTTGAGAATTGAATATTTCGTTAAGGGAACATTCTTTTAACCTAAAATGTTCAGGATATTCTAGTTACAAGTAAGCCTATCTATGGTCCAAGTTTTAGTAGAACGGCGATAATTTTGAAGGAAAGGTCTTACGGTTCTTATCCTTTTGAAATTTTTGATACTTCAGTGCAATATACCTTATGCACAGATTCGGAATTCAAAAGTGATTTTCAAGTTGAGAGAGTTTTTTCATGAGAACTAGACTAACTTAAAAATTAAAGAATTTTCGAAATAATAATTTACAGTAATTTTTCTGAAGTTGAAATCGATCTAACTCTCGAAAGATATGTTATAGAGAAAAACGCATTATGCCATCATGATGAGTTCATCAAGCTCTAAAAACTTGTATAAAGCTGATTGAAAATGGAAACTCACACTTGAAGTTCTACTCTCATACGTAGAATAATAATATTTCACATAAAGGTTATTTTATTTATGGACTCGATGACACCATGATCGGAATATAACTCTTCAAAGAAAAAAGCGACTCTGGCAATTTAAACAGCTGCAGTAGTAGTTGTAATGACGGCATTAATAGTAGTACAGACAATTTCGAGATAATCCAAAAAAAAAAATGATAATTTTCATTTTTTTTTTTGTTTGTTTTTGACTTTTCATTGATGATTTTTTAGAAAGAATTAACAAGCAGATGGTTACATTATAACACATATATTTATGACTGCATCTGAACAAATTGTAAGCCAGAATAAATTCTTGTAGTATTACTTAGTCGATTTCTATCTACTAGTGACATTCGACAATGATTGGTTGTGCTTTTGCTCAAATCATCAAAACGTATGATTCATCTAGTAAAAGTTCTTTTTCCTCAACGATCATCCATCATTATCTCTTATGTGCAAAAATGGATAAACAAAATGTAGAAAAAGATGAGAAAATTGAATCTTCAACATCGATATCATCAAACGATTTGTTCACTACAATTTATGACATAAGTCGAGCTATTTTTCGTCATTTACCTATTCGTTCAGTGGATTCATGTTCGTTAGTTTGTCAATCATGGGCTCATATTGCTCGTTTCACTAAAACACATCGTCATACAATTCATACATTAACTTATCCATCAAATCTATCATCTTCAACAACAAAATGCTCTTATGATGTATCTGATTTTGATACAATTATTTCGTCATATATAAACGATAATCTATGGTCATTACCATCATTGGCTCTAGTCGTTGCTACGAATGGTTTAGATAGAAAAGGTTTTATTTCATCATCAAGTTCACCACCACCAACAAAAAATTCAAAACGATCTCGATCTCAAACTAGAGCTAGACAAGCAGAACTTTCTAATATACCACAAGCATTAATTCGTCATTTAAATAAATCATGTAAAATTTTACAAGTAGCATCCAATGGAATCGTTGTATCAAATGATGAAAATCAATCCTATGAAATTGAACTAGGTAAATAAAAAATATATATAAAATGAAGGTAAAATGTTTAGAAACAAAGTGTTTTTTTTTAACTTTTTTTCTTAGCTGATTAGCTGAAAGAATTTCCTCTGAGGAAAGGTACTTGTTAAATTCTCATTAAAAAGTTTGGATGAAAGAGTCTTTAGAAAATCAAGACTTAGAAAACCAATTTTCTGGATTCTATCACAAAAACGTTTTGTAAACAAGTTCATCTGATAATTAGAAAAAGTATTGTGATGTTTCCTAGCTCTCCACAATCTAAAAAAAGAAAACAACTTGTTAGGCCTATCGCACAATGATTATCGTTCGCTGAAGATAGGTTGTGGAGAGCTCAGAACATCAAAATGTTTTCTCTATCAGATGAATTTGTTTGCAAAATGTTTTTGAAAGAATCTAGAAAATTAGTTTTGGGAATGTTGATTTTCTAGAGACCTTTCACTCAAATCTCTTAATAGGAATTTGACAAGTGCTTCTTCTGATAGGAAATTATTTTAGCTAATCAAATCTTCTCTTCAATTTGTTCTATCTGTTACCATTAAGACAAAACATCAAAAATTCTTCGTTTCTAATCATTTGATCTCCATCTTATGAATATATATTCAAAACATTCAAAATAAAATATTGATCGTTTTTGTATATCTTATTATTTTTTTCTTTTTAGACAGTGCCATGGGTATTCTACTTTTTCCACAATTTCCATCGAATGTTCTTGGAATATATTCATTTGAAATTCCATGCAATACTAAAATACCTGCTGATATGTCTCGTTCCGATTTACATCATTTACTTGGTTGTGTACCTAATGATATACCTATTCGATGTGTTATATTTTTCTTTACTCAACGTCAATCACATAGTGTTGATTGTGTTAAAAAATTGCTTGAATATTATCCATCAGATGTAGCTATTATTGGAGGTTTTGTTGATAAAATTCGTTATAATGATCGACAAAGTCAATCTAAACAATCATTATATAATACATGTGGAATTGTTCTAACAGGTGAACCAAATCATTTAAGTATTAAACAAATTGTATTAGAAAGTCATATCGATACACGTGAAACTGTAAAAAATAAATTAAAACAATTAAAATCTATTGAAAATAATCAAGATTTATCATTTGCTATACAAGTTAGTTGTGTTGCTCGTGGTTCAGAGTTTTATCATGAAGAAAAAAATGTTGAATGTTCAGAATTTAGAAATTTATTTCCTAACACACCATTAATTGGAATATTTGGAAATGGAGAACTTGGTCATGATTATTCATTAAATGATAATCAAACATCAACACAAGAACGAATAAACACAAAAACAGAAATTGATGATATATTTCATGCTTATTCAACTGTATTTTCGCTTATATCATTACGCATGTAAATTGTATTTTTTAGAATAAAAAATACGTTTCTTTCTACGTTGTAAGATAGTGATAGATATAAATAACCTTGTTTTTCTTTGTTTAATCTTGCGTGAGAATTTTCAAGATGTGTATAAAGAAATGAGAATGAAGTAATCAATGGTCGTTTCTGTTTTAGAATAATAAAATATTAAAAGCAAGAACTTTTTCAGTCTTATGCAACATCTATTCGATCTATTCTGAATTGAAAGGTGAAGAAAATTCTCTCGACAACGTCTCTACTCATTATTCATTAGTTTAAAGAGTACACGGTTGGAAAAAATATTATTCCAGGGGGGTAACGCTATAATTTCAAATAGAAGACATAATGAATTTTATATCAAATGAAAGCTCGCCAAAAATGAGGTTTATTGGTATTAAATAGTGAAGGTTATCAAAACCTTTTAATGTCGAGCTTAATAAATTTTCAGAAATTTTATACTTTTTTTGGGATGGAAAATTAAAGTACCAGTGATTCAAGAATGGAGTAAAACGTTTTTCTTGAATATTTTTACACGGTTCGATAGAGCTCGTCGAGCTCTACAAAAC